GGCGCCTCCCCCAATTGAAGAAGAGGCGAACGACGACGTCACCCCTAGTTCAAAAATTGTAAAGGGTGGCGCCTAGGAAGAACAAAGCGGAACTCACCTACGCGAGCTCCGGAGGCGCTCAGCGAATGGAGGAACGACACCTGAGAAAATACATAATTTTAGAAACGATGAGGCAGAGGCGCCTCCCCCAATTGAAGAAAAGGCGAACGACGGCGCCACCCCTAGTTCAAAAATTGTAAAGGGTGGCACCTAGGAAAAACAAAGCGGAACCCACCTACGCGAGATCCGAAGGCGCCCAGCGAATGGAGGAACGACACATGAGAAAATACATAATTTTAGAAACGAGGAGGCAGAGGTGCCTCCCCCAATTGAAGAAAAGTCGAACGACGACGCCATCCCTAGTTCAAAAATTGTAAAGGGTGGCGCCTAGGAAAAACAAAGCGGAACTCACCTATGCGAGATCCGAAGGCGCCTAGCGGATGGAAGGAGCGTTGCCTGAAAATGACAAATAATTTTAGAGACAAGGGCGCGAAGGCGCCTCCCCCGATTGTAAAGGGTGGCGCCTAGGAAAAACAAAGCGGAACTCACCTACGCGAGATCCGAAAGCGCCCAGCGGATGGAAGGAGCGTTGCCTGAAAAGGGCCAACAATTTATAGACAAGGGCGCGGAGGCGCCTCCCCCGATTGAAGAGGAGGACACATGGCGAACGACGGCGCCACCCCTAGTTCAAAAATTGTAAAGGGTGGCGCCTAGGAAAAACAAAGCGGAACTCACCTACGCGAGATCCGAAGGCGCCTAGCGGATGGAAGGAGCGTTGCCTGAAAAGGATCAATAATTTTAGAGACAAGGGCGCAGAGGCGTCTCCCCTGATTGAAGAAGAGGACACACGGCATCGCAATCCCTAATTCAAAAATTGTAAAGGGTGGCGCCTAGGAAGGGAGGGTAGCGCTTGCAAAAAATTAGGCACGAAATAAGCTACCTGAAGCAAGGGGGTAGCATCGGCAAAGGAGTGAGTCTCCAGGCACTCAACTGAAGGTTAGACACCTTGCTGAAGGAGTAAGGTGTCAGGCGCCCAACTAAATGTCAGACACCTCGACAAAGGAGCAAGTCTCCATGTGCCTCACTGAAGGTTAGGCACCTCGCCGAAGGAGTGAGGTGTCAGGCGCTCCACTGAAGGTTAGACACCTCGTTGAAGGAGTGCGGTGCCAGGTGCCTCGCTGAAGGAGTGAGGTGACAGGCGCCCAACTAAATGTCAACACCTAGGCAAAGGAGCGAGTCGCTAGGCACCTCATCAAAGGAGTGAGGTGTCAGCCGCCGTATCAAAGGTCAGGCACCTCGACAAAAGAGCGAGTCACCAGGTGCCCCACTGAAGGTCAGGCACCTCGTCGAAGTAGTGTGGTGTCAGGCGCCCAACTGAAGGTCAGGCACCTCGGATAATACTTGGAGAAGGTCTACAAGAAAAGTAGTGACACTGAAGGTCAGGCACCTCGCTGAAGGAGTGAGGTGCCAGGCGCCCCACTGAAGGTCAGAGACCTTGGCAAATGAGCGAGTCGCCAGTCACCTCGTTGACTTTGTGTCTTAAGGTAACAAACGACAAGCTGGATGACAAATGCTTATCAAAGACATAAGCGAAGGAGTGAGGCGCCAGGCACCCCACTGAAGGTCAGGCACCTCACTCTTCAGTGAGGTGCCAGGCGCCCAACTGAAGGTCATACACCTCGGCAAAGGAGCGAGTCGCCAGACATCTCGTTGAGTTTGGGTCTTAGTGCAACTAACGACAAGCTGGGTGACAAGTGATTAGCCAAAGAATCGAAGCAAGCACTCTTCTACAAGAGCACAAGTAATCGAAAGAAAAATGTAGCATCTCAGACAATGAATGGAAAGTATTTGAATATCATTGGTATCTTTTGGCAAAAAGAAGAAAATGGGAAAAGAGCGCTAGGCGCTCGTTTCAAATGGGCAAGGCACAGGGTGTTCAAAGGAAAACTGACAAGTTTGTTTCAATTTCATATGATTGTCAAGATAGATTGAATCCTCTAACACGAGTGTAGGCGCATCCTCTAAGATGAAAAAGTGGTCACTTGGGAAATAATTGATGAAGAACGGAAGAATGCAAGCGTCAGGCGCTGGATAAAAGGGGCATGATTGCTTCTTTAGCTAGTCTTCGTTACTTGAGACATGTGTTTATTCTTTATCATTTTACTACATCTTATTTGGAAGCAAGCACACCCACGCGGGTGCACAAGCACTCAACAGATCAGAAGATTAATAAGGGAATGAAGCACCCGCTTGAAAGGAAGAGCCTGGTGCCGATTAAGTAAAGAAAGAGAGCTGACACTTGATTGAGAAGACGAGAAAGCAAGGTTAGTGAAACACTCACTTTATGTCGACGCCGCCATGATACTCATACCGACGCCAAAGGGGCAATTGATAGGGTATGAAGGTAAAGTATAATACTTGGAGAAGGTCTACAAGAAGAGTCCAAGAGAAGCCAAGACATAGGGGCAAAACCCTAGAAGACTTACATCATCAGAAGAAGAAGACAAGGTTAAGAGACAAGAACAAGGGACAAAGCCAGGCACCTGACATCAGCAAAGACAGAGTATGAGGGGACACCCTCTGCCAAAAAGTACAATGTACAGTGACAGACTGGTTTGACGATACCGCAATACTTGCGCCATCGCCAAAAGGGGCAATTGATAGGGTACATTAGCAATCCCCAAGGCAAGAGCCTAGTTAATGACATAATGAAGAAAAGAAGACAAAGGGAAAAAGACAAGGCCAAGAGACAAGGAGACAAGTCCAGGCACCTTACATCAGCAAGGACTAGGGGCAGGGGGACACCCCCTGCCAAAAGTACAATGTACAGTGTCAAAGAGTCTGAGGCGCCCGACCACTGCATTTATGGCTTGGCAGGCGCCCAGACCACGACCTAACCCCCAAATGTGTATAAATAGGAGTTCTCTCCTCATAAATGGCAATCTATCTACTCTTACTCTAACTTCTCTCTACTTTCTCTCTCTATATACTTCTTCTCTTTTTCTACTTCGGACGAGGCGGGGCGCCTACCCCTCAAGGTCATGGCTGACACCCCAAACCCCTTGGACCCGAGCGACCCCCAGTCGATTGGGCTCAAACAATCACATTTCCTGAACTAGTAATGTGATTACTAAACAAATTCAATTCTCCATCTATTTTAATTCTTCATATCCTATATATCCTCACATGGTGTTGAATGTTGAAGGAAGATAACATCACAAAGGAAGTTAACGAACATATGATATTGAAGGATAAGAAATTTGAGTCTCTTAGTCCTCAAGATTAATAGGTAGCTACATGATAACACTAAAATTATAGTGTTCTCAAGGTCCTATACTTGACAAATTACTATACTTTCTACGTACTTCGGAACTATTTACACAACGTGCCACATTTAGACATGGAGTGTGTTTTTTGTATACTTTACTCCTTTTTGGTGTTACTTTATGTATTTCAAGGATAAAATATACTCAATAGAAATGTGGATCATGAATGGACCAAAAGGAGAACGAGAATACAAGCACGTGGGCGCAAACATAAATGAATTTGGACATTAGATGTGCATTTAATGGCCTAGAGAAGAAGTTCCATTAGTCCAACATGCTTAAATTTGACCACAGTTAAAGCGGGTCAAACAAAATGTCATGCCACATGGACGCCACATCATACTTTAATGACAAAAACACAGCTGTACAGTCATAATTATCGACTTTGTAATAGTGAATTTCTCATACATATACAAAATGTCCGACTCCGTCCAAAACTTTAACGAAGTCCATTTAGATGCTGAATGGACTAAATTTTTTTTTTTTTTGTCTTGGTGACACTTAATAAAAAACACAGCCATGTGGAATTAACTAAAAAAATATATATAAAATAAAACGGAAGGGTCATCCACCTCCAATTTGCCCCCAGCTCCCTTCCCCTTTTCACCTCCGGCTCCAACTAAGTCTTCCTTTACTGACTATCGCTGACTAAAGAACCGTTGGAGAGAGGGCCAAAACTTACCCTCAACGATCTCGACCAACACTGGAATCTCAACTTCTTTTTCCAGCAACGACTGCGGCAGGGAAGTTTATTTTGCTAGAAGTAGGAGAAGCAAGCAGTCATTGACGTCGGCAGGCTTACCGGGACTCAGAAAGGAAGATAGTGGTGCTAAAAGAAGAGTATGATGGGTAAAATGAAATTTATAAAAATATTGTTTAATTAAAATATGATGTGGTGTCAACGTTGTTGCATGGCATGTCGAGTTGTTACTAACATGTGCATCAAGGTGGCACACTCGTCAGCGTCTTGTTAATGTGACTAACGAAATCTCTAACGACATTAAAGTAGCTAAATTTGTCAAACGTGTTCCTAAAATCTGGACATTTTGTGTATTTCTCAAAAATGGGTTATTATTACCACAAAGTCAATAGTTATGACTATGCAAGTGCATTTAGTTAACTTCCACTTGGCAATATTTTTTATTAGGTGCCGCCAACCCTGCAAAAATGTTAGTCCAATCCGCATCTAAAACGACTCCATTAAAGTTTCACATAACTGGACATTTTGTATATTTCTGAAAAATTATCTATTATTGTCACTTGATAGTTATAGCTATATAAAGGTAACATTTTAACTTTCAATATACAAAAACTCATCATATAATAGGTCCCCTGTGAGTTGAAAACAAACACCCCATACTAACATTGAAGTTATTGTTATACTCGTTACCTTAATTACTTGACTCGGTAGTTAAAAACAAGTGAAAAACCAGCACACTTAAAACGGCAGAGCTTATAACATTCAGCTCACTTAAAACCAGCACCAAGAGCTCACTTAATGTGCTTACATACTCCAGACCAGTACATCTCAGATTCTCAGTCTCCTCATACAAACCAGAAACCATTCTACACATAAAAACAAAGTCCATTGTACCACAAATTATTACTGCAACAGACAAAAGTCCTTAAAACTAATTAAGAGGCATTGACGGCAATCTTCATTCCAGACTCGCAGTGCCCAGGGAAGTTGCAGATGAAGAAATTGAATCCCTTCTTCAGCTGAATCAGATCTTTCCCTGTCTTGTACACTCTGGCACCAGCCGGTGTCCTGCAGCTTCCATACCCTCCCTTGTCCACCGCCACCACGTTGTGGACCGTCGGATCGTACTTGAACACTGCAGTACCTCAGCATTATTATCAAGCAGCCATGAGAAGATCAGAAAATGGTAACGTTCGTAGAAGTTGAAGTGAGTATTGGAGTGAAATTGATAAAGGGAAAATAAGAGAGATTGTGTAACTTTTGAAATTTTTGGTAAGAGTGTAATTCATTGTGTTTACTATGTATAACTTACATTCAAATGACTATGATAAAATGTCCATATTTTTATCATGCTAAACAAACTAATTTTCTTACCACATCGTTTATTTTTTAGAAACTAAACCTCTTGATATTTGAAAAGAAAAGTATGACAATCGCCGAGCCTGGTAACGAAGGCTTGTAACTCAAGTGAGGGCAACAAGGTGATAGAATATTGGCAGATTTGTGAGGTTGGATCTGTTGTGGCTAAATGCTAGCTTGCCCATTCCAAGCATGGAGTTGACATGAGTTTCATCAACGAAGGTGGACGAGACTCTCTCTCCTAAAGTGGAGGGGATTGCGTGAGACTGGTTTCACAGAGCAACGATAACCTCCCACTCTAAGCAGTGGAAGGACAACATACTAGTACCACAAGGGTCCGCATGACTTCATATGTCGCCTTAACTAAACTATCACTTTTGTTCATACCATTATTTTCACTTTATTATCTTTAGCAATACACATGAATCAAATATCACATTTCCTGAACTAGTAATGTGATAACTAAACAAGTTCAATTCTCCATCTATTTGAATTCTTCATATCCTATATATCCTCACTTGGTGTTGAGTGTTGAAGGAGGATAACATCACAAAGGAAGTTAACGAACATATTCTATTGAAGGATAGAAAATTATAGTGTTCTCAAGGTTCTATACTTGGCAAATTCTACCTTATATCAATGGTCTTTAGTAGGGTTTTACTATACTTTCTATGTACTTTGGAACTATTTACACAACATGCCACATTTAGACATGGAGTGTGTTTTTTGTATACTTTATGCCTCTTTGGTGTTACTTTATGCATTTCAAGGATAAAATATACTCAATAGAAATGTGGATCATGAATGGACCAAAAGGAGAACGAGAATACAAGCACGTGGGCGCAAACATAAATAAATTTGACCACGGTTAAAGCGGGTCAAACAAAATGTCATGCCACATGGATGTCACATCATATATACTTTAATGACAAAAATACACCTATATAGCCATAACTATCGACTTTGTAATAGTAAATTTCTCATACATACACAAAATGTCAAACTCCATCCAAAACTTTAACGAAGTCATTTTAGATGCTGAATGGACTAAATTTTTTGTTGTCTTGGCGACACTTAATAAAAAAACACAGTCATGTGGAATTAACTAAAAAAATAAAAAAAAGATATATAAAATAAAACGGAAGGGTCGTCCACCTCCAATTTGCCCCCAGCTCCCTTTCCCTTTTCACCTCCGGCCATTGTATTTGACCGGTGGCTGCAACTAAGTCTTCCTTTACTGATTATCACTGACCGAAGAACCGTTGGGGAGAGGGCCAAAACTTACCCTCAACGATCTCGACCAACACAGGAATCCCAACTTCTTCCATCAACGACTGTGGCAGGGAAGTTTATTTTGCTAGTACGTCGGAGAAGCAAGCAGTCACGGACGTCGGCAGGCTGATCGAGACTTAGAAAGGAAGAGAGTGGTGCTAGAAGAAGAGTATAATGGGTAAAAAAGAAATTTATTAAAAATATTGTTAATTAAAATATGATGCGGTGTCAATGTTATTGCATGGCATGTCGAGTTGTTGCTGACATGTGTATCAAGGTGGCATCCTCGTCAACGTCTTGTTAATGTAACTAACGAAATCTTGAATCACGTTAAAGTAGCTAAATTTGTCAAACATGTTTCCAAAATCTGGACAAAAATTAGTTATTAATGTCACAAAGTCGATAATTATGGCTATACAAGTGAATTTAGTTACTTCCCACTTGACAATGTTTTTTATTAACTGTCGCCAAATCAGCAAAAATGTTAGTCCAATCAGCATCTAAAATGACTCAGTAAAATTTTAGACAGAAATTGGACATTTTGTATATGTATAAAAAATTGACTATTATTATTACTATCACAAAATTGATAGTTATGGCCGCATTTCAAACTTTCCGTATACAAAACCTCATCATATCATGAGTGCCCCGTTAGTTGAAAACAAACACCCCATAATAACATTGAAGTTTTTGTTATTCTCCTTACCTTAATTACTTGATTCAGTACTTAAAAACAATTGATGGCGTAACTAAAGATGTTAAAAGGGCACAGCTTATAATATTCAGATGACTTAAAAGTTAAAACCAGCACCAAGAACTCACTTTAATGTGCTTACAGACCAGAAACCAGTACATCTCAGTCTCCTCATAATCCCCACACACAGCCAACACATGAAAAACACAAGTTCATTGCACCACAAATTATTACTGCAGCAGACCAAAGTCCTTAAACTAATTAAGAGGCATTGACGGCAATCTTCATTCCAGACTCGCAGTGCCCAGGGAAGTTGCAGATGAAGTAATTGAATCCCTTCTTCAGCTGAATCAGATCTTTCCCTGTCTTGTACACTCTGGCACCAGCCGGTGTCCTGCAGCTTCCATACCCTCCCTTGTCCACCGCCACCACGTTATGGACCGTCGGATCGTACTTGAACACTGCAGTGCCTCAGCATTATTATCAAGCAGCCATGAGAAGATCAGAAAATGGTAACGTTCGTAGAAGTTGAAGTTGAGTATTGGAGTGAAACAAAAACTTACAGAGGGTATCCCCAGCTTTGAAGGTCTTCCCTTTAGGCCAGGAGTCCAGATTGAAAGTCCAGCCGCCAGACCCACCAACCAAGTAAGTTGTTGCGTAGGCTTGCTTGCTGGGATGAGTCAACTGCAGCAGAAGTAGCACAGCCATGGTGGCCATGGCTGCACTGCTTCTTCCCTGAGCCATCAATCTTAGAAGAAGGAAAATCAGAGGTGAAAAAGTGAATGAAATGCAGAATGGCAAGTGAATTCAAGCTTCAGCTTTGGTTTGAACTTAGAACTTGGAAGTAGCCTCGTTTTATAAAGCTAGAGTGGTTGATGGTGGGACCATGACCAGAATGATAGTGGAAGACAGACATCTTTTCCCAGTATGAGAAAGGAGCAAAGCAAATTTGACTATTTCAAGCAATGGAGAAATTATGACACAGAGAAAGGAAGGGTCACGAGGGGATGTTTTCCCGTCCGTGAAGCTTACCAGACAGATAGGCCCCATGCATTTGCACTTCTCCTCTGCACAACCTGATGAAATGGGGGTGTGATTTGGTGACCAATAATGGAGATTTGCAGCACCTATATATGATGTAAATCTGTAAGATGAGATTATATTATGGCTGGGATATCAGTTTCGAATTTCCAAACCGAACTGAAACCAAAAACATTAGGTAAGACCGTAAGAGGTTCAGAGGGAGCCGTCCCTCACCTTCAGTGAGACCATTGAGTCCGAGAAGCTCGAAGCCAAAGTAAAGACCACGGCCAACCATTTTGTTTGCACCGACGCAATACGATACCTTTGGCCACTTATCAGCAGCAAACACGGGGCTCACGTCTCAGCAATCGATCACACTTCAAGCAATTGGTTGCGATTTAGTGAACAATAATGGAAAGTTACTGCAACTATATGCATGAAGCTTTCAGGAGCCTAAACTAGGCAATTTTTGGCTATAGTTATAGACAACAGAAGTAACTAACAAAAGAGATAAGAAGAAATTAGTGCACTGTATATCAGGCAATGATTTCTGATGACATATGTATTTCATGCTCACCATTCTTGGTCTTTGAGGCCCTGTTCTGCTTCCAAAGAAGGGTGGTAGAAGGTCATCCTCAATCATCCACCGCAATCCTGTGTATCTATGGTTTCTCTGCAACCTTTCCTCTAGCGTTGCATCATGTTCAAAGTTGCTAAGGGGGATTCAGTACTACTTAATACTTCAATCAAAATAAACGAAAGCTAATTTATTTGTTTTGTAAGTTCAAAGTACAGAGCTTAGAAGACAAGTCCTCCTTGGACGGCTGGAGGAGAGGTTTATTACTCCTACCCTGCTGGTCATGTTCTAACTGCAGTAGTAACATTCTTCATACCAGCGTATTTCGACTCCAGATCGAACCAGGACTCCAATTCAACCAATTCATTGAATTCCTTAAAAGTAGCCATCTTGTCGAGTTCGTCTCTTGTGGTGCCTTTCTCCTTCAGGGTCTTCAACACATCAATCAACGCACGAGCTGAGGCGTAGAGCGAGGTTAGTGGGTGCACAATCAAATGGAACCCCATTGCCTTGAGCTCTTCAGGAGTGTGCAAGGGAGTGACCCCTCCTTCAAGCATGTTGCATACCCTATACCCGTTCGTTCTTCGTGCAATCTCCTTGAGTTCCTCGTCGTTCCTTGGCGCCTCCACAAAAGATGCATCAGCTCCTGCCTGTGATTTTTACCAAATTCTTGGATGTGTTAATTACATGTAATTACCCGTACATGGGTTTGTGATCATCCCAGTCCGCAAAGAGCATAAAGATAAGTGAGCAATAAACCATAGTTTTTATGGTCATCCAACTAGATAACAAGAATTACTAGATGATCACTGATGTGTGTATGTCTCCAATTAGTAGATCTTTAAAAGGAAGAAAATAAACCTGTCTGGTCCATGGCAGTGAGTTAGTAGCAAACAAACCATATCCGTCAATTTCTTCCTACAGAGCTTTGTTATCCAAGTTCCATCAGCATAACCATTGTCTCTTTCAACTGCTTTCAAGGAAGTCGTTTAAGTTTGTCTGGTTGAGTTTACTAGTGTAGTCAACATGAGTGTTATGTGCAGCCTAATCTCCACAGGTATGACTTGCCTTAGAATCTTAATGGCTCAGTGGGAAGAGACCTTTCTGGGGACCTTACCAAAAGAGAGTTTAATAAAGACATCAAGCCTTCATCGAATCATACCTCCATATACAGATTGGCCCTTGCAATGGCATCCGAAAGACCTGTTTTCGCTGATGTTGCACGGGCATCAGTCCTGGCCACAAGGAAGAAATCTGCATCCCCTATAGCATCCCTGGCAGAGGCAATTTTAGCAGCATGCTCCTCTGCTGGTATAACCTAACAGTATGGAAAGAAGACACACAAACAACGACCAACGGCATCAATAACAAAACTGCACAATGGAAAACAGTGATGATTTCAAGCACAGAACGTAGGATAGGTTGCCGTAGTTACCTGTTTGCCACGCATATGCCCTGCAATAAAATCCAGAAGATGCAATGCACGCGAACATTGTTAGAGTCGAATCAAACAAGCTCCTACAAGAATACATTACGCGAAGGGCAAGGTCGCTTACCACACCTCTTCGGCCATGCTTGATCCTGTGAAGTTGTCAAAGTTTGCATCAATTGTCAAGTGATTATTGTTACGCATTTTAAGAAAGTAGACAACTGGAACATAGAAGAGAAGAGGAGTAGCACCTCCAGAAAGCATCCAGCAGCACCAGCTGCAATCAAGTCCTTGATTGTTCTCTGCACATTGAGAGCATTTCCCCCACCAGTATCTATTCGCACCGAATTAATAACCAAATCAGTTAGGAATGAAATCCTGAAAAACCCTAGCGAATCGCCATGCATGCCTCATAATAGCATAGATCATTGAGCAACTTCAATTCAAGACAACTAGAGCCCTTTCCCCCTAATTCAAGTGTTGAAAGTTCAAAATTGCGACAGCGAAATCAGAAGATCAGGAACCAAACAACATTACCCGCATCGGCGATGATCGGTATGAGCGAGGCCGCAGAGCAAACCGTTCTAGCAGCAGCAGCCATTTCCGGCGGCCTGAAACAACAGAAGTAGAAACAATTCAAGTACCCCAAAAAAAAAAATTCCAACGAAATTCGCAGGCGATAAAGAGAGAGAGAGGGAAAGAAGCGGACGTGAGCAGGCCGAAGTCGGGCTTGCCGAGGAGAGAAGCGGAGAGAGCGTAGCCGGAGATGAAACCAGCACTGAATCCGGTTTTCTGGACAATGGCGGCGGAGAGAGCGTCGTAGCAGCCCGGCATCAGCACGGTCCCCTGCTCCTGGATCAGAGTGTGGAATCGCGTCTGCTGCATTCTCACCGCCGGGTGCCTGAATTTGGTCCGACGGCGGGAGGTGGCGGTGGAGCTCGGCGATCCGAAGGAAGGACCACCGGAGAGAGTGGGCCTGGCAGTCATTATCGTCGACATTGGCGGGGGACCGAGCCAGGGAGTTGAGTGGCTTCCGAGTGCTCCGAGTCCGAGTCGAGGCGAGTGAGAGTGAGTTTGTGTTGTTGGCTGAGAGAAGGTGAATTTTGGTTTCTATGAAACGCGCGAACCAAATGGCACGTGCGCAGGTGGAGAGTGGTAGATGGCAACGGCAATTTTTCGTTCGTTTGTGCGGTGTGGGCCCTGAAATAAATATGTTTTCAGGAGATTGGTGGGCCGTCGTGTCTACAGATCGTGGGCCCCCTGTCGTTGATTGGACTTACGGCCCAATACCCTTGCATCCATATTCCATGGTCTCAATTAGGGCTCCAAATGCGTCAAGCCACTCGCGCGAGCAACTCGACAACAATCAGTCAATAATCAAGTTATCAAAGTATCGTTAGATTATCTCAATCTCCTTTCCAATCCCTAATTCTGTTCTAATCTTCTCTAAATCCCCCCAAGTATCTTCTTCTCAATCCCGAAATCAATCTCCACTATCCTTCATCCATTCATCACTGTGCTAATGAGCACTTATCGAGCTCTACCGAGTCGATCTCGAGCTGGATCATTTTTATTCAACCCGAGCACGAGCACGAGCTCGAGCTAGATTATCAAAATTTGTGTTGAAAATTTTGGTAAAGAACCGAACTCAAACTAAGAAAAACTCGATTCGTTTGCAGCTCTAGTCCTAATATGTTAACAAAACTGGAAATTCGGAGGTGAGTACTTATCAAAGATATGCTTTTTTAAGAATACTACAGATTCAAATCTAGTCTGCAATTCTTGATCATATAATATCCAGTAAAAAGACAGCTAGACCAAGATAATTAACTTTCCTAAAAACGGAATCTGTAATATATTGCACGCATTAGCATGATTGCTTCAGAAACTATTTCCCTAATAATTATTAAGTCTACAATTAGCCGCCGGTCAAAAGTATCTGATACTATATATAATGACATCTACGATACAACTACACTTAACAGTTAGCCATATAAAATATCGAATTCTGGCAACATATACAAAGGAAGTCGCACCAAAATATATGTTGCAGGGGAAGAAAGTACATCTACTTCAATAGTTGTCGTGTAAGTATAGATCTCGAATTCCAGCTACTATTATGATGTACAAGAAAAGATACTACGTTAGTCGTACCTAGAAACCTTAAACAAACCAAAAAAATATAGTCGCAGGAATATACTGCATAACAGAAAGAAATAGACATGAACTTCTGGATGATCTGAGTATTTTTTGTTGCTAATATTTCATAAACTATTGAGAAAACTCGATCATCGATTATTTGTATGGTTTACTATGCATTGTGATCGAGTACAACGTGTTACAGAGATGCGCTCGAGACGTGCTAGCTAGGGTCATCCGATGACGATTCATTGCAAGCTGCAGATCAGCTTCATTACGCGTGCAAGCGGTGTATTACGTACAGAGATGCACTCGAAAAGTTTCGATATCGAATATATGGCTAGGGCTTGCTGGTATATATGTGTATGCATGATTTGCCTCTTAAGATGGGCGATCCAGTGGCTTACTTGTGGGTTTGCAGCAGGATGTGAGCAGCTTAGTCATTACATAATTAAGAAACCTTATATATAGTAGTTTTCGGTTTTCCTATCTATGTCGTTTGGGAAAAAAATGACACAGTTTTGAGAAAGCGAAACTCAAACTAAGTTTAGTGTTAGTGGTCGATCAAAGCAAGACTGTATATATGAACATATGTCATCTCATTTGTAATAAAAAAAAAAGATGGCTTTCGTAGTTTGGTTTCTGAATAGTAAGTTGCCTATCTCTCTCTAACCTACGGAATGCCTTGCAATCCAAGTAAATGTCCATATCATACGTAGGTATGTATATTAGTATATAACATACATACATTGTATGACTACTACTACTTCCTATCTATCAACAGACAGCTGAACTACTTCATTATATTCATCTTTTTTTTTTCTTCTTCTCGTTCATTCAAGCATCACCAAATTCATTTCTCATTGCAATTTGCAAATAATACATTCTACACGTTTCTTTTAGTCTAGCATAATCACGTAAAAACAACTAAATCAGTACGTATACGTAGTATTCAATGTCTACAGACATTTAATTTTGTAGAAGTGAAGAAGTATATAGTATATAGTAGCACATAATTACTATATATAGAGAGTTACAAAGAACAAACACAAATTAGAGTAGTGTCTTTTGAATCAAAACAAAAAAAATAAGAAGGTTATATATTATGCAAGCTAAAGATTAGTATATGGAGGGTCAAGAAGAAGATATATCCACACCAAGAAAATCGATGAAGCTAGGAACAGCTTCTTCTCCATCGTCGTCCTCGTCTTCTTCTTCATGCATTGTCTTCTTCATCATCTGATTATGAAATCCATCATTACTCGACGATAATTCTTCTCGTTCTCGATGATGAACAACATCCCCTAATCCCTTCTTCCTCATCTTGCTTCCACCATTATTAACATTATCTTTATTCTCTTCATGGTCATCGCTGACCTTCAAGTAGCCAAAGGGGCTGGGAACCACTCTGCAGGCCGTCCGGTTATTACACGACCCGACCCAACTCCACAAGCTCCCACAGCCATTAATATTGTTGTTGTTGTTGCTGCTCGAACTATTACTATTAATAACAGTACTGATAGTATGATTACCACCATAAATAGCCTCCCCAATTTCGGATCGCGAACTAGGGTAAAATCTAGACAAATTATTAGTCGTAGTTGCAGTTGTAGTCGTAGCACCACCATTCGAGCAATAACTCGAGTAGTAGTACTCTCTCATCAATGGCTTCTGCTGCCTCCAGTTACAGTTATTATCGGAGGAGCGGCAGCTTGTCGACGACAACGACGAGTTAACGGTAGATGGGGAGAGCGAGAATATCACTCTATTGTTAACATTGACGTTGTGGTTGGAGGTGCTGATTGACCATGTCGTCGTCTTTGCTTGCTGTTGTTGGTGGTGGGGGAGTTTGGAGTGTTGTTCCCTTTGCTTGCGAGCCATGACGACGTGCCAGTGGTTCTTGACGGCGTTATCGGTCCGGCCCGGGAAGAGGCGGGCGATGAGGGCCCACTTGTTGCCGTGGATGCGGTGGGCCGTCAGCAGCCTCTCCTCTTCCGCCTCCGTAAAAGGCCGTCGGTTGATCCTCGGGTCCAGTTGGTTGAACCACCTCAATCTGCAGCTCTTCCCTGAACAAATATCGTACTAATTGAGCTACCAGGTTTCGCGGAATATGTTTCGACTATTTTTCAATACCCTAGCTAGCTAGGTAGGAAGAACAAAGATAAAGTACGTTACCTGATCTGCCTTGGAGCTTGTCGGCGATGGAGTTCCAGTTCTGTGGACCGTACTGCTCGACCAGCTGCCGCAGCTTCTCGTCTTCGGCGGGTCTCCAGTGGCCTCTTGGACAGGAAGAAGAAGAAGAAGGTGATGACGAGAAAGAAGAGGTAGTTGGTGGCCTTCCTGCTGATGATGAAGCTGGTAATTCATCGCCAGAGTTGGCTGCTGCAGATGATTCTTCCATATATATATATGATCGATTTGATGATCAAGTTATGATAACTGTATTGAAAGAGCTGCTGCTGGATGGATCATCAGGAAATGGGTCTAGCTAGAAATGGCGGCAGCTGGGCGAGAGGAAAAGTAGCCTAGAGGGAGAAGAAGAAGAAGAAGAAGAAGAAGAAGAAGAAGAAGAAGAAGAAGAAGAAGATATATAGTTGAGAGAGAGAGAGAATGATGATAACAATATATAGTAATTTAGCATTAATATATAGTCTCTTATTGTTAATTTATTGGTTTGTTTGGGTGATGTGGTTGGTTTATTATTAGCTAGCTAGGGTTGTGACTTGTGTGTAGATGGATGGATGGATGGGAAGTCACTTTTGTTGGTTTTACACGACACTTTTAGTTAGCACACCTTCACCTTTGCTTAATTATCTATTCCATACCACATAATTGATTAATTCTTACCAATTGTGTGGAGTAATTAAGATGTAGCATCAAAAGTTTGGCAAACTTCTTGTCCATAACTAATTACTTATCCTCTTTTTTTTAATTATTATGGATGGTAAAAATGATACTGAACTGTCTTTTAAACTATGATCGGACCATACGGATTCTTCGTAACTTTCTTCCTGGAAAGATATTGTGATATACGAAATTAACCATGCACACGTTGTACGCATTCCGATTGACTGGAGTCTGGCTAGCTATTTCTAATTATTTTTTCCTCTAAGCAAAGATCTTCCGAAGATTCTCGTCCGGATAGACCCTGAAAAGGAGAAATATATGGATGAAAAATTCCAACATATCTCTATAAACCGATAAGTCGTACGTCTATCCCTAAATGAACTACTAAACACGTAAATAACATGTTTTTGATCGATTTTTTTCGCTAAAGGTATGTATCTTACAGTGTGCCCTATAACACGAGGTATAGTTCCATGCTAATTTCGCAACCAAAGATCACCTCGATCGGATGACACAAACTTAACCAAATATCGCCCGAATTACACCAAGGACACATTATCTCAAATGTTTGCTTCAAGTCATTCTGCAGATTTTGGGTTAAATTTAATTCTTATGGTTGATTTCCCTTTGAGACAGACATGGTACTACGTTAAAATCAGAAAACAAACCCATCACCTCCCAGCTCGATCGCCACCTATATGTACATGTTTACAAATTAAAGCAACAATATCACTTAGCTTCACAGATAGATAGATCTATCTCTCACTGCAGTTTTGGTTAGAAACAGTTAACAACGACAGCTCTCCCTGTTTGCGCAAAGACCACTTTCCTAATTATTTCCTTTGATTAGCAACTTAATCACCCCCCACCAAATTTTAACGGTGAAGCCATCGTCCCCTTAATTCCTACTTACTTCATTCCATTTTTCTGATAAGGACTGCTTATTAGTACTTCATTAATTACCCATCCAAGCTTCACTACTGTTAACTAATTATTATTCATGCCAAATAATTAAAGGAACGTTTAGAGCGAATTCTATCACTGGTCTTTAACCTAAAGACTTCGGATTCAAACCTTATTTAGTAACATCTAACATTAAATAAACCTATACATATTACTCATACAAAATATACATCATTTAATTTATTATAATCAATTTGCTGTCGACACGGTTTTGTGGAGATGGATGGATCATCAGAGAAGAAGCAGTCTTTGCTGCAGTTGTGGTAGATGAATATCTAGGTGAGCTAAAATGCAAGTTAGCTTCCAAACATTCATTCATTCTTTCATTCATAAAATTAAAAAAAAAACAACAACTTTCATATTAAAATTCTTAGCTACAATCAGAATTGTGCTTACCTCGCGCGATATTTAGGATAGAAGATTAATATAATACGCGAACAAACATCGAGAAGTAACGAGATGATAGACTATCAACATCTTTTCTTCTTGGGATAATATTCAACCTGATTACAACTGAAGCTTCCTGAAGTGTGCAAATGTTGATGTTTCTTTGAGGCAAGGTCATCCAAGAACCAGATGAGGAACGTTGAAATATGAAAAGAAGCAAGTAATTGTATATATGAGTAGAATTAATGAATGGAAAAAGTGTAGAGAATAAGTTAGTTGAAGAAAATAGACCTGTGTGACAGTTGAGCTTGCTCATTTTAACGTTATACTTTTAAAAATAAAAACCTAACATAATATAATATAAAAAGATAAAAGGCCGTTAAAGATGCTATAAAAACTTGGTAAAAAAGCTTTATCTCGTAAAATTTATGAAGATCAAATTAAGTCTCAATAGGGTAATCGGTGTTTTACTACCAATCACAAATTTCATCTTGATCAACGTCAAGATAATATTTTTTTATTCCCACTGATTAAATCGACTACAAACTCAGAACAGCAAAACCCATAAGATCTCGTATTTTACTATCCTAGATATGAATCATATACATCGAGAGCGAATTGCATTATTTAAGTGGTATGATTCGTATCAGAGATGGTAAATAAAACGCGAGTTTTAAATTGTAGGTTTTGTAGCTTGTGGATTTTGTACCGAACACAGACTATATATATATATGCATATAATATTAAGGCCTAACGGACAGGGATATGTATCGTTGCTGAGAGGGTGTTTGATATAGATAGGGTTAGCAGTCTTAAGGGTGAATAATGAAATGCCGTGCAAGTACAGCATCAACAAAACAAAAGTATATATATGGGTAAACCAATCACAAATTTCTCCCCTTTTCTTATCAGATTTATTGACTAATAGCTCCACGACATTGGAACTAGATAACATTGTTTAGCTTATAGTTACAAGTAGGGCTGCAAATGAGCCAAGCCGCTCGCGAGCAACTCGGTGTTCGAATCGAAAAAAATTTGTTCGACACTCGGCTCGTTATTTAACAAGCCGATTCGCGATCCAACTCGTTAGTAAACGAGCCAAGCTTGAGCTAGACCATGCTCGGCTTGATAAGCTCGTGAGCTAGCTTGCCTCGGTGGCTTGTTTACAGCTTGTGGAATGATTAATTACTCTTCCGAACATGAATATTATTTTGATAATACGATTGTGTATGGAAATTAACTATTATTTTGAGTTTCTAGTGTCATTTTTACCATTTAAATTCTTATGTTTACACATTTTTCAGCAAGAATGATTTCAAATCGAGCTTATATTGAGCCGAGCTTGTACTCAGCTTGACAAGCTGTGCTAATGAGCATTTACCGAGCTCTACCGAGTCAAGTTCGAGCTAAATTATTTTTAGTCAAGCCGAACTCGAGCTCGAGCTGGATTATCAAAATTCGAGTTCAAGCTGAAAATTCTTATAAACGAGCCGAGCTCAATCTAAGCAAAAACTCGACTCGACTTGGCTTGTTTGCAACCCTAGTTACAAGTTTGTACACAAATTAATAAAATTATATATATATGTGATGGATTCTTCATATACCTCGGTAAATCTATAGTACCACATACTCTTAGTAAGATATTTAGATCTTGAATCAAACGAATTTTTGGGGCATGATATTACACATTAACGCTTAATTAGTGAGTCTTAGGTTCTGATTCTATAAACCCCACGCCCTAAATCCTAATATGCTGCATCTATTATGCTGGATGTATTTGGACGAATTTGAACCGTTGATTATTGTTTGTTTCTAATTTATATTGAACTTAGGGTATATAATTTAGAAAATGAGGACATAAATTTTAGTCATTAAGGCTTATGTTATAGTATCATGCTCCAAACTCCTATTACTTTAAGGTTAATTATAAATAATCCAATGCGATTAAGATGGTAGGTCAAAATATAAAGGATGGAAGGCTTTGGTTTTGGAGTGGGGCTAATCATTTTAATACTTGTTACTTAACTGATTGAGATTTCATACCCCACGAAATCAAATACCAACTCTCCATCTCCTCTGATTAGTTAATATAAATTAAAACTATGGGTTTCATTAAAAACAAATATATATTATAATGATCATCAAGTAAGCTCTCCCCCTCTTAACCAAGAATATGTATATATTGGTAGGTATAAAATCAGTATCTAATGTGGAATTGGTGGATATGTGTCAGTCTATCAAAGTCCAACCTATCATAACTTCCTTCAATTGTCCTCCATTGGAATCTTCCTTTGGGTTTATCAATTTCTTTATTCTAAGGCTTAACAGAATTTAGTTGATGAGAGAAGTACAGGTGATGTTTTCCTATGAGATTTGTCTCTAATAAAGAAATATTTAGCTAATGGAAGTTAGGTTTGAATTTTTTTGCTTTTCTCATACAATTAAGTTGTACTAACTACTAATATCTATAATATATATATATATATATATATATATATATATATATATATATATATATATATATATGGGGAGTTCTACTGTACCCCGGGTGAAATTCGGGGTATCGCATACCTTGAGTAAGAAAACATTATCCAGAACTTGAATTGACTGATCTTTCGGACATGATACTATACTCTAACCCTTAAAGATCATAATCTAGGTCTTAATTCTCTAAATCTTATATCCAAAGATCAATTTAATTAGAAATAATAATCGACGGTTATGATTCGTCCAAATATCGGCAAAAAAAATGGAGTCACCATCTTAGAGTTTATAGTTTATGATTTAGATAATTAGGACCTAGGGTTCACTCATTAAGGGTTAGGGTATAGTATCATGCCCAAAAATCCTGCTAATTCGAGGTCTAGATGGCCTTTTCATACTCAATGTATGCGGTACCCTGGATTTCACCCGGGGTACGGTAGAAGGAACCATATATATATGGTGATGACTGGTGTACGCCAGGTGTATAGTATACGTCAGGTGATCTAGCCGTTAGATGTAGTTAGATGAGCTCCGATCGATCTCAACGGTCAATTTTTGTTTTTCATTAAATCATACTTTGGGTTGGGGTTTAGAAAATCGGTGTCTGGGGTTTATCCATTAGAGGTTAGGGTATAGTATCATACCCCAAACTCGATTTAATTCATGGTCTTAGATAGAGATATCTCACTAGTAGTACCTGACGTATAGTATACGCCCGACGTATACGCCTGACGTACACCAGTCATTACCATATATATATATATATATTATACTCAGAGTGAAATCTATATAATATCTATTTATTCTACTGTACCCAGAGTGAAATCTGGGGTACTGCATACTTTGAGTAAGAAACCTTTATCCAGAACTTGAATTGACTGATCTTTCGGGCATGATATTACACCAGTCATTACCATATATATATATATATATATATATATATATATATATATATATATATATATTATACTCAGAGTGAAATCTATATAATATCTATTTATTCTACTGTACCCAGAGTGAAATCTGGGGTACTGCATACTTTGAGTAAGAAACCTTTATCCAGAACTTGAATTGACTGATCTTTCGGGCATGATATTATACTCTAACCCTTAAATATAAAAATTTATGTCTTATTGCTCTAAATCTTATACCCCAAGATCTATTTAATTAGAAACAATAATCGACGGTTATGATTCATCCAAATATAGGCAAAAAAAAAAAAAAAACAAAGCACCATCTTAGGGTTTATAGTCTATGATTTAGATAATTAGGATCTAGGGTTCACTCATTAAGGGTTAGGGTATAGTGTCATGCCCAAAAATCCTGTTAATTCGAGGTCTAGATAGCGTTTTCATACTCAAGGTATGCGGTACCCCAGATTTCACCCAGGGTACCGTAGAAGGCACTATATATATAGTGGCGTATTTGGATCACCCACTTTTTTGGATGCATTCAATGCACTTGCCTCATAATCATCATTCCGAAAAGGCGATTCATATGAAAACGATATCAGTCATTACTTGTGGTTTGATGAACAAGAAACACATGAATTTGTACAAAAATCATTCAAAATTTACTTTAATTTGAATGATTTAGAGTTAGGGTTTACAATTTGGGATTTTGGGTTGGATTTCAAAAGTTGTGATTCTATATTATATCATCATATTAGATTAGTGTTACCCATTAAAATTCAAAATTCAGTTTATTATTACCACTTTTATTATTACCAGTTTATTATTACCACTTTTGATGTAATATGGTGGCTACTTCGGCGCACTCACTTTTTTGGGTGCGCTCAGTGCACCCACTCTAAAAATGTCCATATTACATCAAATTTTGAACTTTAATTAGTACTCTCAATCTAATATGATGATATGGCATAGAATCATAACAAATCAATCTATTACCCTAACCCCTTAACCTTCAATTTTGAATCCCAACCCAAAATACCAAATTGTAAACCTAATCCATAACCCTAAATCCCTAAATCCTAAATCCTTCGAATTAAAGTAAATGTTGAATGAATTTTTATCAAAATTCATGTGCTTCTTGTTCATAATATCATAAGCAACAATTGATACCGTTTTGACATGAATCGCATGGTCAGAATGACAATTATGAGGCGGGTGCACTAAGTGCACCCGAAAAAGTGGGTGCACCGAATACGCCACCATATATATATATATATGATTATTTTCGAAAATTAAAATATATATATATATGATTATTTTCGAAAATTAAAATTATTATGAGTAGTTGAATTATAACAAATTTCTAATTCATCGTCTCATTTATCGATTCAACTTGCGAACTTTATTTGTATCGAATAAGTAGGGAGTGGTAATGGAATGTCATTATTGTTTCTTGTCTTATGTCGCTTGCAAGATGTAGCAACTCAACATTTGATGGGAACTTGGACAAAAACGTACATGGAAAACTTTACATTTTGACATTGATGTTGTAATATTATATTTCATTATATTATAAAATAATTAGTGAAGGACTTTCGTCTTGCTAGAGCTTGACACTTGACCTACCACCACTTACCTCAATGTTCAATAACATCCTAGCCGCCATTGCTATTCTTTGCTTAACTCGAAAGCCTCTTATACCTCTTTCGTTTACTCTATGTAGTTTCTCAAGGAAATTATTAAATTTGGCTCCATAAGACAAGGAAAACGCAATGAGTCATATAGATTGTAATCATGGATTTTGATCATATATCTTCGAAATGAGATGATATTTAGGAAGTGCGACACATCACACATCTGACCTGCGCATCGTAATGTAATTGATTTCCGTAAAATGATCGATAACAATCCTTATAGTCCTTTGGATTCGGAATAACTGTCGGTAAAAGACCATTCGACAAGCTCGTATGGGAGTACGGGGCAACTATTCCTTAAACTTAGCCTAAAGACTAGGCTTGCACTCGTAGGAAATCAAAATTGATCATCAATGAGCACATGAAATGTAGGAACTCAACACTATCTCGTTCCTATCCAGGGAGAAAGATAATCCCACTAAGGATCAAATTTTCCATGGGGAAAGATTCCAGGCAATAGCTCCAAAAGGACATCAAACTGCAGTAGGAAACATTACAAGTATATGTGAATCAATACTAGCTGTCAAAAATGCGTCAACTGAAAAACAAAAGGGGATCTCAGACTACCCATGAGAATCAACGAACAATGAATATGCATATACCTCTGTCCTGCAAGAACAAAGAGGCAGATAGCTTGAACGATTTCCAATTTACATATCAGCTACAGACCACAAGTAAGCTTCACGCTCCGTTGCTTGCTTATCATTTGTTCTTTTGAACATCTCTTTCTCATAACCTACAAAAAGAGAGAGCAAACCCACTTCAATTAACAGTTTTTACTTCCTTATCCATTTGTCCAAGGACAGTTCAGGTTTTCAGTAACTCTGTGTCTCACTTATGAAAACACGCTAGTCTCTTAAATCAACACTTCAATTAACAATTTTTACTTCCTCATTCATTTGTCCAAGGACAGTTAAGGTTTTCAGCAACTCTGCCTCTAAAATCAATTGAGGAACATTCTGACATGGGCTTAACTAAAACATAACAAGAATGATACTCCGCCCTGAGGCCCAATATAAGAGAGAAACAGTTAAAAAGAAAGGATGCATACCGCTACTACGATCAACACCATCCCAATGTCTTCCAGGTTTTATGCCATATCTATTTGGAGCAGCAGGTAAACCTCTCTTTAACCAACTATGATTAGGGATTCCCTGTGGGATAATAAATCCAGATGCCTTCATTTTATCATCATCTCCCAGGTCAGAAACATCTGGTTCATATTGCTTGTTCTGCAAGATACGATAAGAACATGATGAGGCTTAGTGTAGGAGAAGAGCTATCGCAGCTATAAATGTAAAATCCAGATGTCTGAGTAGCTGTTATCCAAACGAAATCCCAAACTGAGTTTTATCAATCTGAAAAAGAAGCAGAAGATGCGAAGTTTCACCTTGACCAAATGCGCCATTGGATCACCCCATCTCGGCCGCTCCTTAAGCATCTTATCAAGTTGAGGATCATCTCTGCAAGCAAGATATGAAGTTAGAACTGAAAAGTGACGGCAAATCAGAGATAGAGAGGTTTCTCAAGTACAGAAATGCATTGGTCAACAAGAGTCAATCATCAAACGATACAAACTAAATCTCTCAGTAAATTGCACACTCCTCTAATTGGCCGTATGATACAATGTCAGCGCAGGTTCTAGAGATCTACAATGATATTGATTTACAAAGATATTAAATAATAAATAATTAGAATGCAAGTAATCATTACCTTGTCCTGGCAAACGGCTTCTCCTTCTCAAGTTCCAATTCCACCAGCTTGGCTTCAGCTTCACGCTTTTGAGCCAATCCCTTACCCCACTCTATGTGTATCTCCTGATAACACAAGAAAATATGATAAAACATTATGGAAAGAAGTAACCATGTAAATAAGTTGCTCTCCACAAAAAAAAAAAAAAAAAAAAAAAACCATTGACAAATCTATGGTTTTGAACAAACATTGTTCAAGAATTGATGGACTACGTACACGAATGCTAAGGGTGAAGTGACCAATGGTCTGAAGAAACCTATGCATAAGCATTAGACAAATTTACATAATAGAAGCATTAGTGAAATGGAAACAGATTTACCAGCCAGGATAAATAATTGAGTATCTAAATCCTTTAATATGCTTGGAATTTTACATCAACTTCCTTCATAAGATCTTCAAACATCCAAGATTTCCAGAGCATCCAACACGACTTTCCTAAACAATCCCATCAATCACAATATAACTTCTCACGAGCTTCAACAAACTGAGTCCTCTTGAACAAAGAAAAGAACAGCAGAAATTCTCTCATCACGTCGAAGTTGCAGACTATGGCATAAGCTAGTATTGCAAATCTTACTGTGAACATTGCTAAATTAGCAGCTTTGAATATCTTGACAATTTTCAAGATAAGTTTCATTTGTAGATTGACTTGTTTCCTCATAGAAGAAATAATGGGGAAGAAATGCAGTTCCCGCCTACCCGGATGCACGTAGGCACAGCTTGCAAATAAAAAAACCATACAGAAGAAGACAACTCACACCAAAACAAAGCTACAACACTAGATCAGGAGCACATATATAAATAAAAAGATTATCTGGGGAAAAAAAGCAAGACAGCTGCTTCACAGACAAAAGATACTATCACCCAAGAATGAGATTTATGGAGGCGAAGAAGAGAATACCTTCGGCTTTTCAACTTTCTTTTCTTTTGATTTCAAGTACTCATCCTTTGATATGCGCTCTCCTGCAAAACATCAGCCATCCCAGAATTAATGTTAGAATTGAAGAGCCCAACATACAACATAGAATAGAAACAAATTATGCATCTTATTCGCCAAAAACGAAACAATAGACTCCACATCTCAAATGCCTCCATGCTTCCTTGGTAACAATGAAACTTTATCAATTTTCCTTCTGCTTGCTTAACTGACCTTTTTTGCCACGATAAACAGGCTCTGCTCCTTTCCCACTCATATCAGCATTCATTTCTTGAAACCTTACACAAAACATAAACCAAACATGTCACGCAGTTCGTTATCATAATGCCGGAAGAAAAAAAATACTAAAGGCAAAGACAATGCAATGATGCACGCACTTCGACACCTAGCTCTAAGTTAATATACCCTCCTACTTTGCCAAAGCCATTGCCATCCGAACAAATCCAGAGTCAGCAGTTGCCATCAACCACTACTTCACATAAAAGACTGGTGTTCTCCAATTTCTAACAGAGAGAAAACATATTGTTGCTTGGAAAGCAAAATGGTGTTGAATTTGGCACCACTGAAAATGAAACTGATTCAACGAAAAAAAAAGAAAAAATGAAACTGACGAACTGACAATTTGATGGCACCTGCTAGCTCATGTTATAACTAACCAAAGGCAAACGTGATGAACTAAACAGGTGATCCTAGCAAAGCATGCATAAAAGTTCCAGGCAATTAAGTAATACACGATGATTCCAAAAACAACAGCAAGTCAAATATTTACCTTAGCATGTCATCCTTCTTCTTTCTAGAAATCTCTTCACTGATATCACGGCCACTGACCAGACCAGTTCTCGGCTGTTCCTTTGAAGCAGCTGGACCAGATGGATTGGCCTTTTTCTTCCTCGGTGGAGAAAGATCTTCATTCAATGAATTTCCATCAGCAGTTGCACGTGTTGGATCCCTTGAACCTGAAGGAACAACATCATTCCTTTTCCTCCTTGGGGGTGATAGATCGACATTTTTGCGAGAAGCCCTTGATTCATCAGGTTCTGGGGAAGGCGTGTCATATCGAGCTCGAGCTCTTGGCCTACGAGGAGGAGAAAAATCTTCATCTTCCACATCACTCCTTGCTCTCTGCTTACGAGGCGGTGACATATCAGAATCCAAAGAAGCATTGTCACGATTCACTTGCCGCCGTGGAGGGGACATATCTTCACTTTCTCTGCTTCTTCTAGGTTCAGGTTCAGGAGAAGGTGTGTCATTCCTACGATGTGACGACGGCTTATCAAACGATACCCAACCGCTTCCATCCTCAGCTATGGAATTAAACGGACGCCTAGCTCTAACTTGCTCAAGCCTCTTTAGTCGTTTGACTTCTATGTCTTCATCAACTTGAGGCTTTTCATCTAGAAGAAACAACAGCACAATAATGAATAAACACCCCATTAACTAAACACAGAATTGACAATTTGCAGGAAATTGTGACAGGAGAAGCAATGATTGTGTTATGTACTCTGCATTCTTACCAGGAGAATCATCGTCTTCTTCCTCCTCGAGTTTTACAGGTTTTGCCCACACAGGATCTTCGTCCACAACGGAAACGCCTGCCGCTGCTTCTGGCTTAGTGTTCTTTTTCTTCTTCTTCTTGTTCTTCTTCTTCTCTTGTTCATTGTTGCTTTCGTAGCGCTTTAGATATTCCTTCAAAGACTCCGACATCGTTGAAGCTGAGCTCACTAATCGAAAGATGCAGATGCCCGGTGTCGCGCAGAGACCGCCGGCCGATACGAAAGAGGACAGAACGACGGAGGGAGGAACTGGAGCGGCTGCTAGTACCCGTCAGTCTGAAGGAGGCGGCGATACGACTGGACGACGGGAAGGAGGCGATCTGATTTTCGGGGCTAGAGGGAAGAAATAGAAGGCAGGATTGGGGGTTTTGCGATTTCTGGAGTGGAAAGGAAAGCCAACAAATTTGAGTTAAATGCGGAAATGGTCACTAAACTTTAAGGTAACAGATAATCGGTCCCTAAATTCATTACTTTTAACAGAAGTCTCTCTGAGCAACTGGGCCCAAAAAATTGTGGACAAGATGCGTCTGGAAGGAAGAAGAAGAAGAAAATCTCCCGCGCCACGATTAACTAATATAACAGTTTCTTTTCCGCAAGGTTTAGCATCAGACTCAGAGATTTCAATTCCAGAAATGACCATCGCCATGTTCACGAAATCAGCAGCCGCGGCGGCCGGGACCCAACGGCTGCTGGGCAAAGACGACATCTACGTCGCGGCGGTGCCTCTTAGAGCCGCCAAAGGACCGCCGCAGCTGCTGATGTCCGCGGCTTACTCACTCAACCTCAGCTGGGACTTGCAGCATTTCATGGTCATCATCAAACCCACTTCGCCACCGCAGCAGGCTGCTGTTGTGTTCGATTTTCAGCCCAGGGATCCTGAAGATGTGCTTACGGCTCTTGCGGTGATATCTGGCAGATCAGTACCTGGTAAGAATTTGTGCCGATCAGTCAAGTCCATTGTGTATGCCAAGTGGTTGACGAAATGACCCTATGAAAACATTTTTTTCGGTCCAGGGGCAGTGTTCCGCAGAACCTTGAAAGGCCTGCCCAGAAGACGATGTTGGTACGTTGGCTCGTCGGAATATGGTGAGCAAGTTGCTGCCAAGTTCAGTGAGAAGTGGAGCACCTACCTGAAAGTTGGGAATCATGACTGCCGACATTTCACGAACGGTGAGGGCAAGAGTTCCTGATCTGCATCTTCATTTCAGTTGATCAACTAGTAATGCTGGTGTTTGATTGTCCTTGTGCTGACTGAGTGAAACATATTGTTTCCATTGGAAAAGGGTTGGTGGAACTTCTCACTGGTGAAGAGCTGGTTCTCGAGAAGCTAAGGACGAATGTGTTGATGGAGAGCAATACCAGCTAAAGAAAGGATGCATCGTACATATATTTCGTAACGAAAGGATGCCTCCAGGAATCTAACGAGAAGTATTGATTTTGGGTTGGGAAAAGCGTTGTTTGGATTAAGTATCAGTTAAAATACAGACGGCTAATCCATGTGTATCACAATTCACAAGCAGCTACTCTCCAAAGATTTTATGGGTTTGCTAGTAATATATATACATACAATATGGTACACCGATATGCTGGCTGCAGAGTGATGCCTAGTTCTTCGTCACCTCCTAACTCTGTTCTTTATATGGCGTCCAGATGAGCTTGCTAGCATCAACATCAAGACCTCCACGGCCAGCCGCCTTTAGATGCCGATCCAAAACCTTGGGATCTGCACATATCACATGTTGTCCCTTCCTGTATTGGATCAATTCCAGGCTCTGTAGCGTAGTCAGAATATCTTCGACTTTGATTGCCGTCATGTCACTTAGTTCCTGCAGATTATGATCAGAGTTTCGAACTCTTAAGTTCCAAGTACCCAACACAAAACAGCCAACTATAGGAGTAAATAAAATACCTTTATAGAAATGTTGCCTTTGTGCTTCTTCAAGATGTCTAGCAGAACACGGGTCCAGTATCCTCTGTAGCTGACCAGGCCTAGGTCAGAAAGAGGTCTTTCAGGTGTTCCAACCTTCCCTTCCTTCTTCGAGAGTTCATATGCTGTTCCATATGGTACAGATACAATTAGGATAAGCAATCACACATTTCGTCAAGAAGAGAATAGACGAAGCAAAGTTACAAAGTCGGTCCTTACAGAAAGCAATTAGGAATTTCCCATAGCCTTTCCTTTGGTAAGGAGGAAGAGTGAGGATACAAGCCAGATTGTAGGATTCCTCTGAATGTTTTTCCTGAATTATATTAGAAAATATTAAAATTGCATTCTGGATTCAAAGCTTATCAATAGAACTATTGCATACTCTTCGAACACAAGAATGACAATATGAGCAGCTATTCTTCCAGATACCGAAGCAAAGAGCTAATACAATACTATAAGAATGGGAAAAAGGTGAGAGTGCACAAGGATTTGCATGACAGGCAGCAACTGAGTATTAGTTTAACCTTAGAAAAGTATCCAACCATGTGACATCCACGATCGTCACATTCACACAGAACGTAAAACAAGAAGAGGTCAACATCATAGTAGAGGGTCTTGTGATCGAGAAATAACTTCGCCAAATAGCAGAGGTTTTGACCATAGACCTTGTTCCTTTTACCATCGACCTGCATTTGTAAACCAGTAGGAGACACAAGCAAATTAACTAACTTTTCAGATCCCACAACTCAAATAGACAAAGGTATGAAATTGTTTGGAGTTACATGTAAAAACCTCTTGAAGAGGATGGTGAAAAAAATTCTTTCTAAGAAGCATCATATTGACAAGGTTCCATTCAAGAGACATGCAACAGTTCTGTGAACTATGTGGCAATTGGCATACATAATAAGTTTACATTCACAGGGGAATCAGTAAACAACAGGCAGGCTTACCTCAAACATTGACAATGTACCACTTCTGTAAATCTCGTCACCAGGGGGATGTTTGAGATCACACTTCCTCTGAAAAACAAAGGGTACGATATTAATGCCAAGCCAGCGGAACATATTATATTATCTGTCTTAGCAATGAGAGAAACAATAACATCAAGAGCTGAAATAGTGAACATAGCCACAGACACAAAAAAAAAAAAAGTTAAGGAGAGTTTGTGGCCTAACTCACCATGTGCCTTTGAAGCTGCTCCTTACGCTTCATGAAATTCAGGCAGAACTCACAAAAGTAGAGCTTCAAACAATCATTGTATTCTGGTGGAAACGGTGAGAAGTACCATGTTTCAATCTCATACTTCCCAAGTTCCATAGTTGCTATATTTTTCACTTTTGTGAACTCTTCATGCTCCCTCAAGCTGGCAGCATCAAGTTCCTCATGTCCCTGTTATTTCATGAAGCGTTTCCAGATTAAGAATTTTGCTTGCTTTCTCTTTACAACGTATACGATCCCTAAGAATCCCTTTACGTAGATGAGCACAATCATTTCAATCTTGTAGCTTTTGAGCGCTACAGTAAGCATCATTGTAAACTCTCACGCCTAAAAAAACTTTTTGCCAGATAACAAAACAGTTATCTAACATTCCCCCATGTCTAAAGCGATCTCACTTATTATATTCAAGTACTCTACAACAAACAAGCAGCCCAAATATCCAGGCACATTCTGATTTTGAATGACAGCAAATCAGCAGAGTCACACTTTGAACTTTAAAATGAATTCAACCAAGTTAACATTACTAAGGCTTCTCAAATCAAAGCATTGCTTACAAATTCAACCGACAATTCCAATGAGGAATCCAGGAGAACTGCTTGTTTTCGGTTAACTAGGTAGATAAATAGCATAAACATACCTCAACATGGGTCTCATCAATCTTCCTTTTCTGATGGCGTGTCATTTTCAAGCTTGTTACCTTATCCTCCACCTTCTCATCAACTACAGCCTCAACGGAGTCCAGATCAAGCTGATCAAGTTTCACCCATTCATCAAGCCTCCTGTTAACTGCCAACCAAACATAAAAAAGACACAAATTGGACGTAAGCCCAACCCTAACCCTAATTTCAGTGAAAATTGAGGGAAAGGCCAAATTCCACTCAAATTCGATGCTTACACTCGGTGTAATGAACATAATACTCATAATCGCTAACTCCAGAGTAGGAAACCTTCCTCCTTTCAATAACCTTCACGGGGTGGTACTTGCTATCTCTCCAGCGGCACATGACCCGAGTTCCAACCTCCAGCGGGAGCGTACTACCTCTCCTTTCTTTCAAACCGTTCGTTTCCATAGGAACCGCGTCTCCGGGCAAGGAAGGCATCGCGTCGGTGGCGGATTGACTCCCTTGTTCGACGTTAGAGTTGGCGTCGGCGGAGGTCGGCGCCGATGTTCCGTTTTCCGTCGGTGGAGGCGTTTCGATCGAACCCATTCTTTCGTGGAAGCCGGAGTAGACTGACAGACGGCGAGCAGAGAGAAGGAATGGAGCATTAGCCAATGTGGGCTTTTTATTTAGCCCGCTTCGGTTTCGGTGGGCCGTCTAGTGGACTTCATCTATCTCAAAACGACGCCGCCCTGCTTAAGCCGGGACACGAGTTAAAGAAAACCCGGTCTCCAACCACTAGTTTCTGCTACTTCGTTCTGTTGTTCTTTCCTGTAATTCCATCTGCAAAACAGCAGATCAGAATGCTTCTTTTCATTGAGATTCATACGACGACGAATAAATGCTATCTATGAGCATCACATTCTTTCAAGCTCCTTTCACCAAAATAGAAAAGAAATGCACCACAAACACAAAACCTCCATCAAGGGGAGAAGTAGCTTGTTGCTCAAGCTAACAAAGTACAACTAAGACAGCAATCAAAACAGAATCCAGGGTTGTAATTTTATGTTTTTAAATAAAATTAGTATTGTCGGCCTAACAGAATCCCAGGTCGCAATAACAATGCTCCCATTTTCTCTCGAAAATATCCCCGCCATACTAGAGCAGTTCATCATCTGCCTCGCATCGTTACGAGGAGTCCTTCGTCCTTGCTTCTAGCATCCTGTTTCGGACTTCCTCGCTAGCCACTTGGGCTGTGAAATTTTGATCCGTTTGTTCTTCCTTAGTTGACCAGATTTTTCAACTTCCTCACTCGATTGCCACTCTACTTCTGATACAGCAGTTCAACCAGCCAACAACATAAATGGGATTACACAGCAGTCGTAAATCTGCCAGACTCTGCAAACAGAGAATTGGGAAATGAGCAATTACCGTATACTGGAGGAGGAATTGCTTCGCCGCCATTCTGAAGCAAACAGCCGTAGCTACCGTTATATCTACCCCGCAATTCCTCACACCTCGGAATTGGAGTAGGCCAGCCAAAGAACCTAGGCTGGAACACCTTCCAAAAACATGAATTGGGATCACAACGGAAGTCTGTCTCCTCTGCCTCTCCCTTCTTCAAATTGCATGAGAAGATGAAATAACTAATGGTAGTACCACAGATTTTGTGAAATTGTAAGAAGACAATTTCCGGCTTCTCCGGATGCAGACCAACCACACCATCCACAACCAACCTGTCAAGCTCATAGTTGGGCATTAATGTCTCCAATGCCACTTTATACCGTTTCCTCCAATAGTAACGTGTACCGTCTTCTTCCAGGGTCAAGAGACGCAATACCGTTGGCATAAAAGTTATTAGAACCATATGCAGAGCACCTTGCGAGGTTGAAAAGGTGGTGATTTTATCAGTTCTTTGGTAGATTGGCAAAACACTAATGAAAGTTGGAGGTGTAATATCTAGACGGAAAGGATTACACACAACAATTTTCCAAGAGTTAGTCACCCAATACAAGTTCCCATTCGACGAAAATGCATCATGATTCCGTTTTGATTCGTCTAGAAGAACAAGAGCATCTGTTTTCCATCTCCCAGACTCTGAACAAAACACATCTAGCTTAGTATTCCGTATGTATCCTGCAGTCCACGTTTCAAATAGACGCACCACGCAGAACCGATACTCGGAATAACTAAGCCCTTGTGGGCAACCGTCGCCATCATCATCAGCAAGATTCAAATCACATGAATAAACGGGTTCACAAACTAACCTGGCAACCACTTTCTCATATTCCACGCACCTTTTGGGCACCAAAGGCAGGGCGATCCATTGCTTTGAAAACGGATTACAGACGATGTACGATCGATGTGCTTCGCTATTCTCCGAGTCCACAAACCCGCACAAAAGCAAGTCCTTGAAGGAATCCATGACCACAAATCGATCTTTCAGCTCATGCGGTACAGGGATAAAGCTCAGGGTCGATTCCGGATCGTTGAATGGCAGCAGAGGTGGTTCCCCGTAGCAGCTTGCCGTGCTCTTGTGGTGAGAACTGAATCGGCGACTGAAGTAGGGATCGGAGATCAGCGAGTTCCACCGTTTGCACACCGATTTGCATCGGAAGACGGACCTAAGCTCCAGGACAAGAATCAGAATTTGCAGGAGGAGATCGTCGCCGAGGTGTCTCATGGGAGAAGGGGCAGGATGCTCACCGGCGGCGCTTCGTAGCAGATTTCCACCCGAGTTGCTGCTGCAGCTTTTGGTCGGCATGTCAAGGAAAGACCAGCTACCAAGCGATGGAGCGATAAAGAAGCAAGCTTGACAAAACCCCAAACCTCCATCTGATAAACCCTAACCCTATTTATGCTGTCGTGATTTTTGGCCTTCTGTCTAATGCGGATACGGATCGGAGTTTGGCACCGAAACCCTAACTTGCCTTATAAGTTTCTGATCATCAGTCTCCGCCGGGCATGGAAGGCATCCCATCGACGGCAGATTGAGTCCTCTCCCAACGTTCGATGTCAGAGCTGCCGGTACCGGAAGTCTGTGCGGTGTTCCGTTCTCTGTAAATGTGGAGGCGTTTCGATCAAACCCAGTTTTGGTGATTTAATTAAAAACTTAGGGCGTTAAATAGAAATCCAATTTATTTGTACCGTTCTCTTCGGTGATCTAATTTGTCCATTTTCTGTAATAATGTGTGGTTTATGTTTTGATTGGTTTTCCTAATTCGCATAGAATTGTTTTTGCAAGTTAATCCGCAACACAATACACCCACCCCCATCATCCACCTGATCTTGGATGATAGCTCACATTTACGTCAAGCCGTGGATTCATTTTAAGTTCATCCAACAAGCTAAATCGGGTTGACAACTATCATTTTGTACCAGAAAAGTAGCCTTGAGAGTTCAAACACCCCAACTCAAAGTCATTGAACTAGCCTTTGGAAGCATTTATCCTGTGATGAAACATCAGCAGGGCAAGAAAATATAGAAAATGGACAATTTGATTTACGGTGGATTGCGTTCTTCTTGTTTCAGAGGCCTAACAAAATTGGCTTGGCCTTCTGTGTCCAAGTTTGATAATTTGAACTTACTCGGCTATACAGTATATGATTTGATCGATTACATAATAAACTAAAAAGATCAAAACGTTACAAGGAGCTATACCTTATGTTCTATTTACAGAATAAAGGTAGAATTGTTGGTTTGATTCCCCTCCTGTTTCTTTTCTTGCTCCATAAGTAAGCCTGAGTTTCCCTACATCTGAAGAAGCTTTGGCACTGCAGTAGCTTTAACCCAGTGAGTCACTTGACAAAGGGTCGACAATAAGAGATCATTTACTAAGCTCGGCAGTAGATATATGCAGACTGCTATCAGACACTGTCATCAAGAGAAGCCGACGAAGAGCGGTTTAGGAGCAATGTCTTCTTGGTTGCACGTACATTCTTGAGTGTCATCATCAGCTTCTGCCTTTCCCCTTCAACCTCAGCAAATTGTAGGCTCAGCTGAGAGTAACGGTTGTGCATTTCTCGTAGTTCGTTCTCCAGGGCTGTGTATCTTCCCTTTGTTTCCAGCATGTCTTGGATAAGATGATTGATGTCTCTAAAGCTTTTGAACACCGCTTCCTCATCACTGTGTTGTTTCAGGAAGGAACTGAGGCAAATAAAAAAGGTTAGGTATCCAAAACCAGGTGAGATAACAGAGAAAGAGTGTTTGATGCCACACTAGGAGTATACTGAATTACTGATTGATCAATGAAACCCATCCTAAACAGCATCATCATCAGCAACAATCTCTATTTTCATCAAAATTTACAGTAGCTATGTTCTGCGGCATACCTCTGAAAGTGGATTTCAGATTGATTTTTCACCTGCAATGCTTCTGCAAGTTCCATTTCCAATGCAAGAACCCGGTCAATAGAATTCCCGCTTCCAGAAAATTCCTTAAACGACGGGAATCTCCTTCCTAGTTCTTCATTGGCCTGAAAGGAAACCTAAATTTTAAGTTTAGGCTGAAAAGGGGACAAATCACAAGAGTGAATGACCATGAATTTTACCTGCTGCAACCGCTGGAGTTCACTTTGCAAATCTGGAAACTTTTGCTCGATAAAAGAGTCATCTTGCAGAAATGAATTCTCATTTTTCATCCTCTCCAGCTACAAGCAAAAGAGAATAAACATTAAGCTGACAGCACAGATAAAAGATATGCCCCACATTTACATCTAAGGTGAACAAACCTCATTAGTCAAGTGGTCCATGCTAGACCTCAAGCTTTCAGCTCTAAAGTGATCGTTAATGAGAGTTAAATGCTTCATATCATCATTCATCAGCCTATCTTGTCTTTCAATCCCAGGACTCTGATTTCCATTTACATCGGAATGTATGAAACCATCCTGTAAACGATTAAACACAACTCATATGAGATCAACCTTCCAAAGTCTGCAACAGTTTGGCTAAGCTTTATGGAATTTCTTCCAATGACAAAGATTGAATTCACATCAAAAGTCAGGGGTGGACTTTCTTAACACCAATAAGCCAGAACCCAGAAACGGGAGAAATGTGGACATTGCTAGACATTATAGACTAGTTCAAGATGTGAGCCTTGTAAGAGAACATGTCAGACATTCACATTTCCTTTTCGCACATTGTTGTGTAATATAATCTAGTGCACGTTGCAGGCAACACTTTGCTTGACAGTTTAACAAGTTTTCATGTGAAACACTAGCTTTCAACCAGCCGGTCTTGGGGCATGGTTCTAGATATTTATACCACTAGGTATGCGCAAATGAAGTCATTCCTAAATATGACAGCGACCAAAACGAAGAGATTGAAAGTTACACACCGTTTCCAAGGAAAAAGAGTAAAAGACAAGTGCATAGTCTACACGAGGAGATATTGGTACGTGAAATTATTTAGCACTTCACTTTTTAATAACATAAAAAAAAAAGAGCCTAGATAAACGAAAATAGAAATCTCCTTCCGAAATATAAAGGTAAGGACTATTTAGGAAACAGCTCGTCCCAAGTAATTTTGATGCAACCGATGTATGATATTTATGTTACCAGTTTAGAAGAAGAGAACATACCACTAATGACAAATCATTGTGTATAAAGTTTTGTACGGCAGAGGAAAATATGGCACCAGCTTTAAAACAGAACTGGCAAAGAAAACCGAAAAAAGAAGCTTTACATAACGTTTCTAGAAATGGTTTCACATCACCTTCTCAGATGCCACATTGATCAGAGTCCTTGAATGATTGAATTCATCAACCGTAGCTGTGGATGCTTGTTCTGGCCCATCATGATTCCTTGCAATAAATTGTCCCAAATGCTCAGGTATGTCCACATTGACCGCAGCAGGATCCCTAACTTGACCATTTCTTCTAGATACAACGTCAGAAGATATGCAGTCCACTGTAGAAAGCTCTTCACTTTCTTCCTCTTGAATATGAGTGGTTAATTTGGGTTTCTCCAGCAATCCTTTAACCAACATAAGTTCACCAGCAATCCTAGATTTTTCCTCATTACAGTGTTCCAAAGAAGCTTCAAGTTTCTGTTTTTCTTCCTTGCAGCAATCAAGGCTTATTAATGAGCACTCCAATTCCGCCTTCATCCGATCATAAGTATTCACTTTCTCACGCTTCTCAGAGAGTAAAGCTTGCAGTTCACTCTCCAATTCCAAGATCTTCATTCCCAGTTCCTCATTTTTCTTCAAGTAATGATATTCAGACTTTTTCCTACTCTCAATGTCATCGATTGCATCTTGTAATTTCCACAGCATTTCATCGCTATGTTTTTTGGAGATTGACAGCTGTTGTTTCAGTTCTTGCAGCTTGATTTCATACTGTTCTTTGATAAAAGCAATTCTCAAGGACTCTTGCATTCGTGCAGGTGAGCCTTCAAGCCCTCTGGTTTCGCATGCTTGTGAGTTCACATTTTCAGCATCAGCTTTGTCTTTAAGCTCCCTCAAATGGACAGACAAATTTCTGAATTCTTCCGTCTTGAAAGTCTGTTCGGATAGTTTCTGCTTAAGTTCATCGCACTGCTTCTGAAGCACTGCAAATTCATCACTGTATCCTTCCTGGGAATTGATCCAGGTGTCCTGTTCATCCAATTTACCCTTGAGTACCACGACCTTAACTTCCAGCTCCTCCTTGGAAAGCATCAGCTTGTCTACCTCTCCCTCGTACCAAACCAGCAAGCCCTTCAGCCTTTCTATCCCAAGGTGATGATGACCTTTTTCTTCATATCCACCAGTCCCTGCCTTAGGAGCCATACAGCTGTCCTCCTTGTTCTCCTCCATTAATGCTATTTGAGCTTCTTTAAGTAAACTATTTTCATTTAAACAAGCTTCTAACTCTGACCTACTTGAGTTAAGGCTTGTCAACAACATTGCACTCTCTGTAGCATACCGGATTTCACTAGCAAGGCTCTGATCAAGGATAGTTTCTAAATCAGCACACCTCATCTGAGATTTAGTATAATGCTTCTTCAAGAAGTTTAGTTCCTGCAAAAGTTCTTCTACCCTTTCTTCATACTGGGTCTTCATGAAAATGAATCCAATATGTGAAGCTATTGAGTATTCATGCATTTCGGACAACTGAGTTTCTAGACAAGAAACAGATGATGCGGATTCTTCTCGAGCATAATTGAGACACTCTTCATAATGCAACAACTTCTTACACATTATTGACTTCTCTGTTTCAAGGCCAGACATGAATTGCTTGAGATGAACCAAGTCAGACTCATATTGATGAAGCTGGGATAACTGGTGTTCCTTGTCACCTAAGAGGGAAGTCAGATCTGTAATTTTACTCTCCAAACCAGCCCTCAATATTTTCTCCTCATACAATTCATTCTGCATAGTCTGCAAAGCATTCTTCAACATGTCTATTTCAGATGTAAGCCTCAGTATGTCCCCACTTTTATCCTGTAAGGACATCATCATAGTTTGGTTTTCATCATTCAAAGATTGCAGGGTTCCTCTTAAGTTATTCAACTCTGACGCAAATTTGCTAGATTCCTCAGAATTTTCTTGGAAAGATGCCTTCAAAACTCGGTTTTCATCCAAAAGGGATGCCACACTCTCCTTCGAAGTGTTTAGCTGTACCAAGAGGTCAGCTGCTTCGTCGCCTTTCTCCCTTGAACATGCCAATAAAGATTCTTTTTCAGAATGCATCAGCTGCATGCTTTCTTTCAAACTGTCCAGCTCTGCACTTTTATCCTGTAAGGACATCATCATAGTATGGTTTTCATCATGCAAAGATTGCAGGGATCCTCTTAAGTTATTCAATTCTGACAAAAACTTGCTAGATTCCTCAGATTTTTCTAGGAAAGATGCCTTCAAAATTCGGTTTTCATCCAAAACGGATGCCACACTCTCCTTCGAAGTGTTCAGCTGTACCAAGAGGTCAGCTGCTTCGTCACCTTTCGCCCTTGAACATGCCAATAGAGATTCTTTTTCAGAATGCATCAGTTGCAAGCTTTCTTTCAAACTGTCCAGCTCTGCACGAAGCTCGGAAAACTCCTCCACTTTCTCCTGCGAACAAACCGCTAAAGCTTTATTTTCATCCTGCAGGGTCTGTAAACTTTCTTGCAAACTTTTCATTTCCAGCAAAGATATGGCAAATTCATCTGTTTTTTCTTGTAAAGATCTTATCAGAGCTTGGTTTTCATCTCGCAAAAAACTCAAAGTTTCCTTCAGACTATCACCCTCCAATGCAGATCTGGAAGCTTCTTCAGTATTATCACTTAAAGACTCTTTCAGAACTTGATTCTCAGCGTGCAGAGACTGCAACTTATCATTCAAGCTGTTTATCTCTGAAACAAGCTTCTGAGACTCAGCCACTTTGTCCAACGAAGATAGGACCAATGCTTCATTTTCATCACGAACAAATTGCAAACTTTCTTTCAAGTTTCTCATCTCTGATGAAAGTTCTGTGTGCTTCAAATTCTTTTCCTGCAAAGATGCTACCAACCCGAGGTTTTCTTCTGTAAGTTCTGCTGCTTTCAAACGAGTCATTTCAAGCTCATTGGCCAAAATTCCCACACTAGTGATTCCCAGAGCAAGATCACTGTTCTTAGAAGCAAGTTCTTGCAGTTCGAATTCAAAATGGTCTAGTTCAGAAACAATGAAACTGAACTGCTGTACATATTTCTCTTCAACCTCAGAGCTAAACTGGAATGTTTTAGCTACGCCATCCACACGGGATTGAAGCTTCTGAACTAAAGCATTTGATACACTGAACTTATTAGTCAGATTTCGCTGACAATACTCGAGCTCTGACCTAACCTCAGAAGACAATGCGACTGCAGCATCTCTATCACGCAGCAAATCTTTCTTCTCTGCCATTAGCTGGATAATCTGTTTGCATGCTTTGCTCTGAAACTCCTCCACCCGCATTAGAGTAGTAGCCAGGTCCATTGACCTTAAGTCCTCATCAACAGCCAAATCTACCTGAAGCAGTCCATTGATCTTTTTCTGGGAGGATAGCATTAAGTTACGCATACTCTCTTGCACAAGATTAACTGAACTCTCAAAATCTCCCTTAGCCAGAGTAGCCTCGTCAAATGCAGATCTGACTGTTTTCAACTCTTCATGCAAAGAGAATATTTGATTTGTAAGATCAACACAATCCAGTGTTTTTCTTTCAAGTAAGAGTTCCAGCTCCATCTTCTCTGCAGCACAGGCCTTATATTGGCTGTCACAGTCGCTATATTGCATCAAGAGAGATTCAGATTCAGTAATCTTCTCTGTCAACATCTCAAGTTGCTTTGTCAGTTCCTCACGTTCTTGTGCCATATATTTGGCACCATCACCTACTTCGAACAAAGTTTCCTGTAGAATCTTGGAGAATACGTCAAGATATATATTCACAAAATGCATCTCGCAAACTTCTTCCTCAACTTTGTGGTAAAGCCCTTCCTGCAAGTGAAGTGATCTTTTCAAGTCATCTAGAAGGATGTCTCCTCCTAGCTGCTGTTTCTTCACCGTGATAAACTGATTATGAAGCTTCAGGTGTCCTGTTGAGAGTGTTGCAGAGTCGAGCATTTGACTATGTTCCATTTCCTGGTTGTCTTGAAAGCTTGATTGCAATGAGTCAGTAAAAGCTTGCCTAATGAGATTCTCATTAGTCTCGAACATTGATGAAACTTGCAAAGAAAGAAGTTCAAGGTCCTTCTGTAACTGGTCCACAGCAATAGAGTAATTCAAGCGTGCCCTTTTGAGAGCCGCCTCTGCTGTATGAGCCCTTCTCTCAAGCTCCTTACTGTGAGACTCCAGGTCATGTTTCTCTTCAGAAAGTTTTACAATCTGGCTGTTCAAATCTTCATGCAATGTCTCCATCTCAACCTTAGTAGATGAAATCGAATACAAGCAAGCGGAGTGCTCATTTCTTAGCTTCTGTAACTCAGATACCATTTGCCTCTGATTTTCTTCAAGCTCCTGTACCAGGGCTTCATAGTAGCACTCCATCTGATCCATTTTCTTGACAAGGTTTTCACGTTCAGCTTTTGACTCATCCAACTCTCTAATAAGTTCAAAAGTTTTATCTTTCATCGCCGTGATGGCATCTTCAGACCCATGTTCATGAGCAGTTATGCTAGGTGAACCAAGAAAATGAAGTATTCCTAGTTCAGGCTCATAAGAGTCCATATCAAACCCAGTTCCAATTCCAGACTGACCAAGTTTATGTGAACCCATTTCTCTAATCTCCTTCAAGCCCGTTCCTCTGGGTGTTCCCTTTTTCAGGCTGCATACTACTTGCTCAGTTCCCTTCCTCAGATTCTGTAAAGTGCTTAGTAATATCTCTAATTCCGAGTGAAGCAACCTAGCATCTCTTTCATGGTATCCAGAACCTGTTTTACCCTGTAGCTCCTTTATCTTCTCCTCCGCAGTTAAAATTCCATTCATCCAGCTTAGCTGTAACTCCACATTGGTAGGAGCTTGTCCTGTCTCCATTGTTTCTAGTTCTCTGATAGGGCGACACAATCTGGATAATTTTAGGTCTTCGAGATCATGTTTCAGCTTTGAACACTCTGATTTCAAAACATATACCTCTTTTCCTAGATCTTCTCCGGAAGCAATCTCATCTGTGAGCTGTTTTGCGAACTTTTTTGCTTCATAGCCTATTTCATCAGCATTACTTTGCAAAAAGCTCACTTCCTGCTTGAGCTCATGAATAGATGATTCAGCTAATTCCAGACTTCTCCTAAGTCTCTTATTCTCTTCATAAGCAGCTGCCGTGTCAGTATCTGCAGAATAGTATAAACTCCAACCATGAACCCAATCACTGTTTCCTTGTACAACACAAGTAATCTGGGATCAGAGGAATCACCTGTTTGGGGACTCAGACCAATGGTATATCCAGCTAAGTCACCGGAAACAGTACTCTTCAAACTTTCAATCTCATGTGTGCTGGATACATCATGCTTCTCAGCATATAAACCTTCAGAGGCATTTGAAGAACCATCATATCCAATAGTTGATTCTGCATAATCCACGCTCTGCCTCATCTGCTCAACTAAATTGAAATCCTGAAATTTTTCCTTGGATCTGACTCGAGAATTGGCCTGCCATTGGAAACAAAAATAAAGAAAAGAGAAGTAAGATATGAGCAAAAAATGAGAACGAATAGAAAGAATCTAACAGCGAAGACTTCTAGAAAATCAAGAGTCTAACAACTATGCATCATATGACTAAAGCAATGAACATGTTCTGAGGTATTTGACCCGCCCTATATGAAGTTCACGAATGATACATATTATTTTGTTGGGATTTTTTTAATTCCACAAATCAAGGATTTTGAGAGTGCACGCCCAGGCCAACACAGTAAAATTGTGAACAATATCTTGATATAGTAGACCTTGTCTAATGGATTTAATGACACTTAAATCAAAAGAAAAGTCACAGTTTCACCCATCTAATTAATTTAACCAGCAGCAGCATAGTTTATCAAGCACTATCAACTTTGCAACAGATGACACGTCACAAACTATCACCAGAAGTTTGATACCCACTGTATCTTCTTTTTAGAAAAAACAGATAATTAACAAACTGTGGTTCCATATTAGCCAAAATCATATTGAAGATAGCCTGTATTAGCAAGTGACTCATTACATCATCCATTTTCCCTATTCTATTTTGAGCTGGCAGAAAAGGCTGGGAATAGTTTCAGCGTTGTTACTACCAGCAATATGTATGCCACTTACACCACAACTACAAATATACAGCTAAATATTGTGCTTTGTAACATAAGATATCAGGAATATAAGCTCAGGAGGCAAGAAAATTCTTTTTTTTTTCTAAAGCACAAGAAAAGTAAAGAGCATTCTTCAGCACTAAGATCAACATGCATTTTCACACTACTTGAATTCGTATCACCCAGCAATTAAAGTTCTACCTATGAGCTCGTACCTTGTCCACCTGATCACTGAGAGCTTCTTCAGAAGATGACACTTTCCTGCCACGAGATTCTTCAGGGCTGCTCTGCTCAGTTGGCAAACCCTTCTCTGTGATTTCCCTTTGCTGCTCAAACTCTCTAAGAGAGATAAGACTTGATTAATAAGTGATGAATTAAATGCACATGAAGATAAATTGTTATAAAGTACTACCTGAAACCTGTTTTCGAAGTTAGAAGCTGTACAGTAACCTGTACAAGAGTAAAAAAAATTAAGGTTATCATAATGCTACCCTCACGAAGTACTCCCTTTTAAACACAATTGAATATATCTGTAGAGTGAGAACAGAATATTGCCACTAGCTTTAACAGAGAAGTCACACTAGATCGCGAAGTGCAGGGGATAGGATGTTCAGGAGTGCTCACATGTAAAGTGGTTCCGGAATCACATCCATGAAGAGGGAGAGTTACAACTAAAGGTTTTAGTGCTTCAGCATAATCAGAAAGATTAATAGCAGCTTCTCCAAGGATGGTAGACCGGGAGGAACCCTGATGTGTAATAAATTGAGATGAAAGGTCCATCAACTCATTGAGATTAAAAATGGAAAGCTAGAGATGGGTTAAAAGATATGAGTTTTTCAGATACAAAGAGCGCAAGTCGGTACCATGGAAACCACAAGCTTATAGAGTTTTTCATCATATCGCTTAGTTTTTATGTCTTGGAGAAGTCGTGTAGTCTCATAGATAGGATCTGCCCACTTGCAGGAACTATTTCTCACATTGGCCTTGTTAGTCTTTGCTGTTGCTTTCCCGGAATCAGCAGGAATGAGAGATATGAAAAGCTTATCCCATCCTGACTGTGGGACCTGTATCCCACATAAAAAAAAAAAGTTACATCAACTATACGTCCCTCCCAAGAAAGGCAATTAATAAATGATCAAGTACATTCAAAGCTATGGAGACGCCGATTCACAGGCTTGGACAATCATACTTTCATATCAAACTCAACAGAACACTAATCTGCCTTCTACCTAGAATAGATCTACATCCTTTCCATTTTATATAATCCTTTTCAGATATCTAGCTCAGAGCTCTTCTAACGACCAACTGCCACGGAGATTGAAAACTACAGAAGGCCATATTTGTTTTCCCCTGCATCATTTCACGCAGAGATAGTGCAACAGACAAACTATTAACAATATTTCTGAAGAAAATGGTGTCCAGCCCATATTAAAGACTATGAGATCAGGTGCACAGTTGGCAGAAAAGGAGACAGGGCAAGCATCGAGTATTAAGAGGTCAGACCAAATAAAGATCCAGTAGTTCATTGAGTCTTTACAACATTTTCCTAAATCAAAGCATCCTTTTCATTACGTCATGTCTTCCCATTGTCTCAACCTGAACTCATCCACAGTAAACAATAAACATATGCCCTTCCATCCCTCTATAACGAGTCATTTCAATTTGGTCACTAAATAAGTATACGGAACTAAATGTCTATAGCATAAATCTAGAACCAAGTAAACAAAATAACTAAACAACAAGTTAATTTTAATTGGCGAATCAATTAGAAGGTCAAAAGGTCAGCAGAAAGTGGACCAAACAGAAGAGTGATAGCAGAAGTTATCTCAACAATAATGACGACATTGACCAATAAATAAGTTGACATACATGCCTAAGGAACAACAACAACAACAACAACAAAATAGCAAGGCATGTAGTGGGAGTTCATAAGCGTCTATACTGCAAAATCAACTTTCGACGGAATGAAAATGACATATATGGTAGAATATAACCATAAAATATTATCCCAATCAAAATGCATACATTTGTCTCATGCACTAAGGGTCGGTGAGAGGAGATATATTTTATATCCCGGAGGGACTGTAATTGGAGATGCCATTATTTTTTAAACAAAAGTTCCTATAGAAATGGGAAATGCCCTACCTTTGAGTGTGGTTTGAACTATTAATCATCACAGTTTGAACAGTATACCAATCAGCATTCTGACTTAGAAGATAGTAGAAAACTTACATGTGTAGCATGAAATTGCAGTCGAAATACCACTTTGACCTTTGTTTTCTCAGTCTTCCACTTTGTGATCCTCGACATTGTTAGCCTGACAGTAAATCAATCATCTGTTCCTGAACCCGAAAAGACGCTCTCAAGAAAAGTGGATGAATGCTTCAATATAGAATCCGTACTTTGAAATATCCTGGAAAAAGGATCAACAAGTTTCATATCAGCTTGAGAATCAATCACTTCCCATAAAAATGCAAGATTCAGCAAACTAAGGAAGACACCAAAGATTGACCAGTAGAGTTAAATGTTCCACGAGGTAGTTCAGGGATGTAGACAAATAACAGTCTGCTCGATTCTGATGAAGTTAATTGAAAAATCCAACAGGGTACATATGCCGGACATTCAATATAAAACAATTGGATGATGCCAAATCCTGAAATGAACTTATCACTGATGGTCAAAACCAAATGCTAGCAAATGCTATCAAACCCAGAATTCAAATTGAAGACAGAAAAAGAAGGAAGAGACAATGCAGCAAAATAAAAAGAGAGAAATTTCCATGTTCCAGATAAGGTAGATCCTCAAGTTAGTCAATAATGCTGACACTAAGTCAAACCCAGTAGGTGAAGCAAGATACGATTCTCATTTGTACAACAGCAACCAAACCCCAGAGAGGATTCGGAACATTGTGGGCGAACCCCGAAAGAAAGCTCGCCACTTGTGATCCGAAATCCCCAAAGATAGCAGTGGAAGATCAAACCCCCAATTCCAAAAAGAGTAGAAGGAAAGTAATGTAAGTGGGTCAGATAAGAGTAAGAAAGCCAGAGAAAGTGAAAAGGGAAGTGAATCCAGTAGAAAGAGGAAAACAGTGACGTACTCAAATCGAATGGTGAAGACAGGCTGTAGTCTGTAGAATTTGCAGAGGAAATGCACCCGAACAACACGGTCGCAGTAGATCCGCCCCCTGCGCGGGATCGACAACCGTTGCTGGCTGCGAGATCTGGAAATAAGAAGGTCGCGCTGCTGGATGGACGAGTGAACGGAGCTGGTGATTGACTCCCAGTCCCACGGTAGAGTGAAACGGAGAACAAGGTTAGAAGAAGAGAGTGAAGGAACTTGAAACCGGACAGACGACAAGGCAACTACTACTGGAGGAGCTACTACAAGTATTTAACTTTTTATGGTTTGTTTATTGATTTTGAAGAAACTGGGCGCTACTGTATTAAGTCTGGTTATGGTCGGTCGGGACTCGGGAGTTGGGTGTGCAAGCTCTTAGCCGTCCGATTGGCTTTTGATTTTTTGGGGAATTACTCTTCGACCACACTTCACAGGCCATCTCCACCTTGCAAGGAGGAAGCTCTAGTTGTCAAAATGCCTCAATCAAAGTGGGTAGCTGCCTAGCTAGCCCATGTCTCTCTTATTCATCAATTTGTTTGCATGGATAATGGGTACATCATACAAGTACTTTTATAAATTATACACATGGATGCAAAGCTGCTATTGTTTGTGTGGATAATGGGTACATCATACAAGTACCTTTACAGACATTGATAAGAGCAGCTGCATGGCCTTTCATTGTGCAATTCCATTGTGACATGGCTTCTGTCTTTCTCCATTTTACGGTTGTAGTCCTGTCTTCAAATAATGGAAGCTGTCACTTAATGAAATAGAGAATGAAATTGCAAGGGGTTCAAATAATGGAAGCTGTCACTTAATGAAATAGAGAATGAAATTGCAAGGGGTAGATGTGGGTCCTTTCCCACGGTTTTGCCTCATCTTTTTTTTTTCTTTTTCATTTCTTTTAGATAAAATGTAGAGTTGTATACTTGTATTAAAAATATAATCAATAGGACCCACCAAATGAAATAGAAAGTGGATGTCATTGATGTAGAGGAAATGAAATTGGTATGAAATGAAATGAGAAAAGTTGTTGATATGGTAGTAGGGATCACATATGAAATAGAAATGGTACTTCATGGATGTGGATGGTCTAACAAAACAATTTTCTTTGAAATATTTTTTTAAAGGGTTAATTGCATGGTTGGGCACTGAAATTACAAATAACGTTCAAGTTTGGTCACTAGAAATATTTAAATCCATTGGTGGTACTTCAGTTTATTGAAACCGTTCACGTTTGGTCACTCTCCGTCCAACTCCGTTAACTTTTGCTTATGTGGCGGTCAACTCTCAAGTTTGGTTCACTTTTGCTTATGTAAGCAAAAGTTAACGGAGTTGGACGGAGAGTGACCAAACATCAACGGTTTCAATAAACTGAAGTACCACCAATGGATTTAAATATTTCGAGTGACTAAACTTGAACGTTTTTGTAATTTCAGTGACCAACCATGAAATTAACCCTTTTTTTAAATCAACAAGACTCCGCTCCGGACTACGATTAGTCTTCTGCTAGCCAGGAATCACTCTTTAATCTTTTATGGAGTTGAAGAATTTTTACGTTCTCGCCGAATTTTACTCAACCTCTCAATTCCGCAGCGATTAGAGAAGCTGCAGCAGATTCCGATGTTAATTTGCACTTGAAAAACCATGGTTCAAAAAGTCACGCTTAACCTTACGCTTAGGCACGCCTAGGCACAAGCAATGACAAAACGCCTCGCCTAGGGGTTTCGCGCCTAGTTAGATACTGGAACACGTTAATGGAGTAAAGCGACATCTAAGACTCTCCTAAACATAACTAGATGGAGCTAGTAACGTCGACTACGAAATCAATTTTCTATATCAATATTTTCAATAGCTCAAGAACTTCGTGAGTTATTGAGCTATGATTCTATGAATTCATGAGCTATTTTCTTGTCATTAAGTGTTGAGTAAGTTATTAAACATTTTAACTGAAATGAGGAAGTGTTGTAGATTATTATTTCATTCGTCATGCAGTGCGAATATATATTTTTCTTCCAACGCCTAAGCACACTTAGTCTATGTCAAGACAAGCTAGGCGCTAGGCAAAGTCTCAACGCCCACCTTACGCCTAGAGCCTTCTTGAACCTTGTGAAAAACTAATTCTTCAAATTCACTATGTCGTAAAATTCACTCTATCGTAGAGTAAGTTCTTCCAAATTATTGGGAAACTTGTCTACCTTACCAATAAAGAGGTTAACCCCAATTGGGTCGAACATGGGATTGAATCAAACCTGGTGTTTGTGATCAACCCAACTAGCCGACCTGATTCCACCCCACTGCTCTGATCCTCCTTCGGTCCGTCCCTGGCGGTCCTCCATAGCCGCGTCTCGCACGGCTGAGCGGGCCACGACAGACGGCTCCCTCGTCCTCGTGTTCGCTCCGCTGCCTTTGTCCCTGCCAATCAGCTCCTTGTCGCGATCTCCTCGGGCGGTGCTCCCATCGGGCGAGGTTGGGGATGCTCGACGCTGACCTCCGGCCTGCTCCCCATGTATCGCTGCCGCTGCCCCATTGCCTGAGACTATCGTCGCCGCTATGCCACCACCCTCGTGGAGGGACGCGATGGCCTGGATCAAGGCAGCAAAGCAATTCTCCATGATCGTGGTCTGGCGCGCCAAGTTTGCCTGTCCTTGCTCCACGGTGGTCGCCGCCTTTTGGCCTTGGCCCAATAGCATGGCCAGTTTAGTCTTTAGACCTTCTTCTCCTTCAGCCAGTTTTCCGATTTTGGCGTACACCACCTGAACGTCGAGCTCTTCTTACTCGGTGGGTTGATCCGACATCGTCTGTGATCCTTTCGTCTTGCTCATTTTTCTGGTTTCTACTGTCATAAATCGTCGCCCTAGCCAGGTTCTGATACCAACTGATAGTGTTGGGATAAAAAAAGGTTTACTTTGTTAGGGTTTGAAGTGATGGGGAGGTTTATACGTGGTGGTGATGTGGAAAAGGGTGATGGGTTGGTGTTTTGGTAACTTGAGGAAGTGAACAGAAGGTTGGAGAAGGTTTGCCTGTGAGAAGGAAGAGGCTGATCGGCCAAGGCTAAGCTAGAGAGAAGGGGTATTGGAATGTGATCAAGCGTTTGTTTATTCCTTAATAATCCCAAATGACAATAATACGTAGACTTATAGTCTCCTTCTCCTAACAACTACCACAATAATTCCAAATCTCCTCAAATATTCTCCATAATCCCAAATACTCTAAAATCCCAATGAATATCCTCAAATAATAATAATATATATGACATAATTAAAGTAATCAACTGCTGACACGTCACTAATCCGTGCCTTCATCGCTCTTGAAGATTCAAAAGGACATCAACAAGATCATCTCTTTCACCATATCTTCTCTTCTCGCTCTTCTTCTGGATCTATGTTCATCAATTACTCGATCCAGTATAGAATCTTATGCCCCCCTGCATCTTCTCTAGCTTAGCTTTGAACCCGGTGAGGGTAGGCAGTATTTTGAGAGAAGGATAGAGATCATAGATTCTAAAACTTGCAAGAACATTTGAAATATTATTTTTGAATGATCAAAATAAACGTTTTTCTAGTAAAAAAATCGTACCAAAGATCAAAGTGGTCAAATATTCTTTCTCTCTTAACATCTAACTTCATCCCTTACTAACGAAATGTAATAATGAAAAGCTAATTTTAAAATATTTAAATTTTTATAAAATGAAATCACAACACAAAAAATTAAAGACCGAAAAAACAACTTAAAGAAAGAGCCGATTTTGATAATATTATTATTTTAGATGAAAAAAATAGTATTTTATGGTTCAATTATTAACATGTCGTTGAGTCATATATGAAACCGTCCATACTTATAAATTATAATACATATAAATATTATACTAATTATGGTCAAACGTATAAGGCAAAGGTGGAAATGAAAAAAGCGAGATAGAAAGCAATTGAAAAATGAGATGAAGATGTAGTAGACCAAATATTTTGATAATTACTAAACTTTTCATGTTTGGCCTCCCATAATATTTTTCAAATGGTTAAGGCTTTTGGGGAACAATATTAAACTAGTGAACCACTTAAATCAAAGTGATTCTTGTTGTTGGCAATTCCAAACAACCGGCCAGTCCATAAATGACCAATCCAATCTAAGAATTGATTCAATATTATAATTGGTTTACAATTTTACGGATCGAGTTTAAATCTAATTAAAAAATTCATTGTTACATTTGTTATAACATCGTGGTTCTTTTATTTTTCTTTTTTCCTACTTCTTTGGTTATTTGCTGCTACTTATGACTCATGAGGTACTAATAGAGAATCTTCCCTTTACTTTTATGTAATGCCGTGTTGTTTTGTTTTGCTTCCTCCTTTTTTTTATCATTTCAATTTATGTGGCAACAAACTTGTTGCTTCTATCCCGCTTTGTTACGGATTGTTGATGTGTCAGCAAAAGAAATGATACTAAGTGCAAGTTCGTGAACAGTAAATTGTCTTTAGGTAATAATAATAATAATAATAATAATAATAATAATAATAATAATAATAATGCGCATCTCCTTTGCAATTTTCTTTTTCAATCATTCAAAGCACATGACAACATGGAGTCGGAATAAGGTGAAGAGCATACTATCTTGTGAGCGCTATTCCAAAACATTCTGTCATGTCAATACTTTTCTGTTCAGGAGGAAGTGTGTAATCAGAGAGTTTTTAGAGTTTTTGGAGAAGAACAAACGAAAGAAATGTCGAAGAAGGAATTGAACGGAAGAGTTAGGGATTTTGACTAGTTAGTCAAACAGACAGATCAAACCGGTTGAAATCATTCGGTTAGACCTCCTAACTCGATCAGTTCGACGGACTGGATTTCGATAGAATGGGCCTTGCCCTGATAAGCCCACAAATCAATTATTTTGATCCAGTGCTTTTACAGGTTCCAGCCCAGACCCGAACTCAGGTGAGAAGAGACAGAAGAGTCGTCTTCTTCCCCTGGCCAGATTGCTGTCGAAACAGAGGACTGGAAAAACAGAGAGAGGTGAGAGAGAAGAACACAGAGCAGAAAGTAAAGTGCACAGCGATATTTTTTAACGAGGTTCGCCACTGGGCTACTCCTCGTCCCAGGATAGTACTTCACTATCTTGAGAGACACTTTGATTTTCTTTATTGACTCAAAAATCAAACTGAAAACAAGGTTACAGACTCTGTGAGAAAATCAAAATGTCAAGACACTAAGACCAGAATTCTCGCAGGAATTCTTTACAACCTTTGATCAAGCTGAACCTGTTCCTCAGCTTGATTCAAAGCCACTGATGCCCTAAACCCAATCCCTT